CGAGTCTTAATAAACTGGACTGAGATGGACACAACGTCACAGCAGTAAGATCAAGACACTAGACTAAAAATTCCCCCCACACGGAAATCGAACTCAAGACTGTTTGCGTGTGACGGTGAAGCTCCTAACTGCTACACCACAGACGCTGGTTGCTTGAGATCTATAATCACAGTGATGTCATCATCATCATCATCATCATCATCATCATCATCATCATCATCATCATCATCATCATCAATGTGCCAGGATCTGGACAATAAAGAGATCAGTGTCATCATTACTTCTGTGCTGGGCTGTAGTCTCCACCTCAGTCCAGCTGTGTCTCATCCCCTCTAAGCCCTTCTCATTTCTTTTGTTTTCCTCGTGGTCTCACTTAAGGGGAGACATGCCACCCACATGCCCCTTTAGGTTGTTTAGGGTTTATTTTCAACAGTTTTGTTATTGTGATCCAATAGAACAGATGTCAAAGGATGTTTTTCTGCAAAAAACAAAAATTGGATATTTTAACAAATTTTATCGATGTTCTCAGGGATCGCCGACCCGGGTCTTCCCTTAAGGCTCGGTAGGTATTGTTTGTTTTTGGTTTTCTCAACGTGTGTTCATTCCACGTCCATTTATTTCTTTCACTGATTTCTATATTTATTTTCTGTGGATTCACTTACTCCTAGCGATGTTTATTTCTAATGTTGTCCAACAAATGAATTTTTAGGATTTTTCTTACGCAAGTGTTGACAAATGCTAAGATAAGATAAGATAAGGTAATATTAAATACAGGGTGATTTTTAAAAAACTGTACAATTTTTTCAAAAATATCTCGCACAAAATTTGCACTAGAATGATGTAATTTGGCAAAGATATAATTCATTCAAAAGGAATTTATTTAACATAAAATTTAGAAAGAAGAAACTTGTTTTCGAAAACGGAAATGGCTTTTTATAAAACCACCTATAACTGCAAAATGCACCAATTTAAAAGATCTTTTAAGGAAAGTCATAAAATTGATGGTTTCTTTTTTCCTTTCTTTTTATTGTTAAAACCTAATCTTTACATCCCTGTAACCTTTAAACAATTGTTCTTTTCTCAAACAGAGATTAAAAAATTATTTTTTAAATTCTGGAATTCCGAGAACCAATGGTCTATGTCCTCCATAGGACTGAACACATTTTAACGTGTCGTTCGTAATGTTCAGTGGTGGCCCAAACACAAGGATCCACTCTGAGTACTCAAAAAGTCACACACACACTGTACAACTTACAATATGGAGCTGTTTCTAGAGACAATAGTGGGGGGGGGGGGGGGGGGGGGGTGCCCAACTTGACAGCATTTGTGGAGTTGATATAATCGGAAAGGTGAATATGGGCTTTGCCAAGGAACCAAATGCCATAGAGGAAATGTTCACGCTTTTCAAGACGATCGAGGAATCATGAACACATTGCTATCCTCTGCTGATAACTTCGCGAAAGGGAAAATGGTACGGTAGTAGATGAAGATCTGCCTTGAGAATGCGGACCTTAGAGATGAAGGAAAGTCATTGCAACAGATATCGTCTGCGGACAGACGTCTCATGGGGCTCATCTACTGAATGCTGCACCCTTGTGACTTCTAAATGGGTACAAACGGTGCATGTTTGACCTGAAGTGGTCATTTTGTCGGGGAATTTTTAGTTCGGATTCTCTACAGGTCCTAACTGATAGACCATTTCCACCCTTTCCACCAAAGAAGGCCTTAAGGGCACTTTAACATTTTTTTCCGTACCTTGTGTGAAATTTACGAAATGAGTTGGTGGTGAGGAAATGTTCAATACAAAAAGCTCTCTGCTCTTCACTTATCTTAACCATGATCTCAGCAGGCAAAGGAAACTTGTAAAAAACTATCTGCTAACTTATATTGACCTGTTAGACTACTGTAGTTTGCAATATGGCGCAATAGTTGGGATTTTTAATGGTGGGCCTAATGCAAACTAGTGCATCATGCAACAAAAATGGTGGCATAGCTGAAAAATGGTTGTTTTTTACGCGCTATGTAGAGCAAAACTATTTTGTGGATTTATCTAAAAATGAATATCAGACAAATTCCTTTTGACCTCCAAACGTTGTGTACAAATTTGAAACGCACAACTTCAGTGTGGAGAAAAAAATTAGCAAAAAACAAGTTGTACAGTTGTTTGTTTGTTTTTGTTGTTGTTTTTTTTAATCACCCAGAACGTTATTATCTGAGGAGGAAATTTTTCTTGGCTGTATAGGACCGTAAAAACACATGCTTGTGGCTTTTTAGAAATGTGTTTTCTATTATTATGTTTCCATGTTTCCAATCCATAGAGTATTGCACTTCTGACACTGGTGTGGAACTTTCTTGTCTTGATTCTTGTTCTTATAGATCTAATTCCTGGTTTTTCCATACGTTTTTTAAAGGAGCAAACACTCCAATAGTGTCGTCAAAAATTCGTGGCGCAACTTTTTCTGAAATATCTCTTTAACTGGTGAATCAATGTCACCCGTACTTTGCACAGCAGTTTGTATCAATTTGACTTCACTTAATCATATTTTCCCACAACAATTAAGGTTGGATTTAAACACTTTTCTTCATAAATTTATTTAAAATACTACACATTTCAGTCACGCGGAAAATGGGATTGTTCACAGCACTTCCCGCCTCTCACACACATTAAAATGTTGTATACACATATGGTCTACGTCACAGCTCACCAATGACACTTTTAGTATCGAAACTTGTTTCAAGAAATTAATTTTATGGCGAACACCTTTTCACACTAAAGGTTCTCAAATTCTATATTCATTAAGCGTAATGTCGCGATTACAAAAAAAAATAAAAATGACGGACTTGCTTTTAAAAGCAATATTGCCCCAACTGTAAACCTATTGAAATCTGTAGAAACCATCCACTGGAATCTTGTATTAGCATTTGTTAAGGAATTGTCTGGAATACAGCTAATAGGTGTTTACACAAATTTTGATATTTTAAGACAAATTAATACACGTCTTTGTGCAAAAGCTGGTAAGTTTATGTTCGATAGTTTAGGAAATGTTTGACAATAAGTTGCGCAACGAACTGTCGACCGCAATATACTTGCCTTATATGTATATATTATATATAATATGCATTTATTATATATATATATATATAAACAACTTGAAATCTTTGTGCGTGTGTGTGTGTTTGTGTGTGTGTATGTGTCTCTGTGCCTGTGTGTGTGTTCATGTGTGTATGTGTGTATGTGATGCGTGTGTGTGTGTGCGTGTGTATGTGTGTGTCTGTGTGTGTGTGTGTGTGTGTGTGTGTGTGTGAGTGTGAAATACTTAAAGCATCCCTAGCCCAGACCCTACCTCAAGCGGCCAAAAGGGATAATTTGAGATAGAGATCTCTGGTCTAAGGACAACAACTGGCGATATTTTTTTCGATGTTTCATGCATAGTTATTGAATTGTCTCCCTTTAGTTTCTACTTTCATTGAAAACGTAGATCGTATCACACGATTTCGATTATGATGATTATAATAATAATATTATTATTGTTGTTATTGTTGTTATTATTATCCTTATTATCGTTTTCATGTTTGTTGTTGTTGTTGTTATTATTATTATTATTATTATTATTATTATTATTATTATTATTATTATTATTGCTATTATTATTGTTATTATTAGCCTATATTATTATTATTATTATTATTATTATTATTATTATTATTATTATTATTATTATTATTATTATTATTATTATTATTAGTATTATTAGTATTATTAGTATTATTATTATTATTATTAGTATTATTATTATTAGTAGTAGTAGTAGTAGTAGTAGTATTAGTATTATTATTATTATTATCATCATCATCATCATCATTATTATTAACCACACTATTACAGCTGTACTAGAACAGGCAATGATTGCGTTCGTTTGACAACCATTTCCGGGTTCCAACGTCAACCTTTCTTTCTTCTCTCCTTCTCTTAACTGATTCTGAGGTTATGCATTTGGAGATAGCACATGTTGATACTGGGGGAGGTTAAAATAGTTCTGATACGTATCGACGAATAGTAAGGGTCTGAATGGTATTTTTGCAGTCAGTGCCAGAAGTAACAAAAGAAGAAAGAGAGAGAGAGGAAGAGAGAGAGAGAGAGAGAGAGAGAGAGAGAGAGAGAGAGAGAGAGAGAGATCGGTCAAAGGGAATGAACAAAGTATTTCTCCAACGGTTGTATTTTGCAATGATTATATCCCCTGTTATAAGGAATGTGGTGGACCCTATGAAGGATCTACCTACAGACTTATATTAAATAGGTCCAACTACTTAAAGTGAAACAAATCGTAATCTAATTCAATACATAAAATATGTATACAAAGCAGGAGTGTGTTATTGAAAGTTTTTCCGTACCGGTACCCAAATAATTCTGTTCTCCCTATATCTACTCCGTTCTACCCGACAACGTTTGAACATAGTTTGGCCGGCAATGAAAATTAGGTATGAGACAAAATTACTTTAAACAGATTGTCTCGGAACAGGTTTATCTACTAGATCTACTTGGTAATGTGTAATACATGTACTATTTTTTTAGATTATAAACCTCCTTTAAAGTAACATACTGCTTACATTCATGTAGAGCGTTGAATCTTAAAATCTACGAACGAATATAATAATATTAAAAAGGCGAACCAATGGCCTTACTGAGGTGTAAATTGTCAATTCACTGGACCGTGTCGGATGCCCACAACAACAGAACACAAGCAGGAAGCAAGGTAGATTCTTGCTCAAATTGTGATCAAATAATGTTTCATCCTCTTTAATTGTGTTTGATATTGAAACCTGGGCTATTTCACTTAGTTTTAAGTGCTAATTGTCTCTCCATTACAGTGTAAACCTTTGTTCCGTCTACTGTTATTTTCTTAAGGGAGCCGACTTGAGATTTGATTTGAGTTTTTGGTCTATTGTTTGGTTTCCTTTTGATATGCTTGAACGACAGTACGTGACCTAGGGTAGAAAGGTCAGGGTCGTTCTGTCCCGTTTTGTTTGGTTAGGTTGACAGATCCAGGATCTGGGGGTTTGGTACAGTATGATAAAAGGCGATATTGGCCTATCCTATTTGCAATTATTGATTGTTCTTCAACACACCTGTGTCTAGAAAACAAGATCTCCAAGAAGTGAGTACAAAATGATCTAATATTGATGGACCTTAGAGATGATTGAGAGCTTATCTATTATGAACATTGTATTGTAATTGTATGGGGTTACCTTCAACTTCAACAAGACAGACTTCTAGTTCTAGAGACTAGAGAAACTATATGTCTAGATCTAGGTTCTAGTTAAGTAGAGGTCTTTAAATTATAACTAGATGTAGGGGAAATTTTGGAGGACTTCCGTAACGAGCGGCCACAATGAGACAGTTAAATAGAGGGGTAGGGAGAGGGTTTTGGTCTTCCTCTTGGTCTCTTTCCCTCGGCAAGTTCTCCTTAGAGAAGTTTCTTCGGACTCTACTTTATTTGCATTTGTTGGGGTGGTCGCTCGTTATGGAAGTCCTTCCCTAAATTTGATTAAATCGATGTATTAACCATATGTAGGCCTAGATATCAAGTAGGCCTATAGGATTATAGGGTATTGTTTTACTTTCACTCCCGTCTCATGCTAAGGCTTAGATTTGTATATAAACATAGCACTCCTCTTGTTCATTTGTCTGTTTTATTTGTACCAGTAGGCCTATATATTTGGCTTTATTCCATTGCTAATTAGGCCTATTTGTTTTCAAAATAATTTATTGATGGTTTTTATTCGAACTATATTACGTTAAGCCTACTTGCGAAGTAATTCTCATGCTTTTAACCAATTCAAGGGGTTCCCCAGAATTTGACTCTTTTTTAAAATCTGCTTGAAAGTTATTGATTTACGAATGTTTTAGAGCATAATATGATAATATGTGTCTGTGATCTACAACCAAAAATACAGCCAATTGAACCCCCAAAAGCTGTGTGCGGGAGTGAAAGTAAAAATGTACCATTTTTATAATTTATAGGCTAATTATTTTTTACTTAACTACTTAACTTAGGAAAATTTGTCTGTCCTTTTGTCACTTTTTTTAAAGATAAAAGAGTGTTTGGATGGTTTCTTTTGTAAAAGATTATTTTCAAAGGCAGTTTTATAGTAAGCTACAATGTTCTTTTTTGTCCATTTTTACTTGAGGTTCTCATGTGCTGGTCTTGTCACAGCAGCACAGAGGAGTACACGTCCGGTTTGGCAAAACTCGCTCAGTCGGGGTGATTTTCTTGAGGTATTTTCATCTCATAGCCTGGTTGTGTGCCTGTGTCGACTGTGTGCTGTGCCTCTGTCTACTGTGTGCCTTCCTGAAATATATGAAAACATGTAAGTTTTGTTGTCTAGACGATAGCAACAGTTTTTTTGTTTTGTTTTGTTTTGTTTTTAAAGGGACACGTGTTATGAAACTATAGAGATGCTGTGTTCATCTATCAAGTATCAGTCAAAAGTTCCTTGAATTGAAATATTCCAGAGACAAATAAACATTTTTTCTTTGAAAGTTTGCTCCATTATTATCCTGTTCTCTAGCACTGTTCTATCATCCGCTGTCCTCTACATTTCCTCACTCCTTTCCCCACCCCTACCTCTGGCTTCCTCTCTGCTCTTCTCTTCCTTTCTCCTGACTTTTTCAACTGCATCTGTTCTCTCTTTCACATACTATGATCGTAGGGCAGGTAAAATTGAACTCCTAATATAGCCTTCTCAGATGAGGGTGAAAATTCTTCGAAGTACCATGTGCAAGCTGTGCACGTTAAAGATCCCACCAAAACTGAAAACACTTATTTCAGTATTTTTAAAAATATAGAGTTCCTTCAAATTGGGAATGTGGCTGTCTGAAAAACTTGAAGACAGGGGCTTTATGAAGTAGGAAAAACGTTCACATCAGTTGTTCTGCAGGTTGAAACAAGCAGTGTAGACTACTTTGTGATTTAGTAGTTAGCAGGGGAACACAAAGAAGAAGAAAACAGTGTTCAGATTTTTTCTAGGGGAGGGGGTAAGGGGAGCTCTCCTTGTGATGGTACACTTTTCTTTAACATAATGCTAAATTATGTTTGAAATATTTTCCCTGTTTAACATATAATTCTACCATGTACTTTAAAAGCTGTACTTTTCACCTGTAGTCATGTTGTATTATAATGAATGAATGAGTAGAAATAAAGCTGACATCATATATATATAAATATGTCATTCATTTCATCATCTTTTGACCTCTGTACACCATTAAAAAAAGGAGGCACACATTATGCTTATGTAATAGTAATAGGAAAGTTAATTGAAGGCTCTCCATAGAGACATGACACTGATATATTCATTGTTGCATACATATCAAATATCAAGTCCATCGTACACAAAGCCTTGACTTTAAAGAGAGCTTGCGTGGACAATGAAATTATTAGTCTGTGTGGAGAAAGCACACATATATCAAATTTCCTAGGGTTTTTTTCCACCTGTTGTCTACAGAACCACAAGCCACAAAAAGTGATTGTTCACACGTGGTGTCTATGAGTCTATGAGCATGGTATTCTTACATGAAAGTTCAAGAGTTTAAAAAATTCAAAGTTTTTTCTTTCTACAAGAGTGATGTTTTGTTTTCAACTTTGTTCCAATGCCCAAAGGTCTGTTAGCCTTCTGTTACTTAAGTTTTGTGTTTAATTAACCATTTAAAAAATATTCTTGTGATGTTTTTTGGCATTTTCAGAATGTAATAGTGTGAAGTATTTGTCCTTTGTTTATTCCTGTTGAATTAATGAAAAGTTGACTTAAAGAATTTAGAATGAAAAGACTATCCCTGTTATTGGTTTTTACTTTTACCTTTGAATTACCTCTATGTTTTCTCTCTTTTCCTCTTGGCCCATTTCTGTTTTCTATTCTCTTGCTCCACTTCATTTCTATTTTGTGCAAAGTTCTTTTTTTTTCCATTTCTGGAGTTGAATTTCTTTTATAATTATCTGTTTTGTTTTGTCGACATGAAAACTTGATTAAAGTATGTTGGGAATTCTATGGTACTTTCTCCCCCACTTTTCAATTTTATTATCAGAAGTGGTAATTTGCTCGTAACGAATACCGAAAATCCTACTACTACTACACAACTTCAATGTTTCATTTAAGATCACCTTCATAATAGACAGTGAGGCTCACCTATTTAGATGGTGTTCAAGATCAGTATGCCAAAGTTGAGATGTTTTTTCAGTAAAGATGGGGTTGTATAACGTGTCTTTTTTCCCTGTCAGTATTTTCAATTTCTTCTGTGGTTTTCAGAAAGTGATAATATGAAGTATATTTTTGTTTTTCTTCACCGTGTTTAATGGATCAAGAGTTGATGTAAAAGAATTTAGAATGAAAGGACAATCTTTGTTATTGGTTTTGACCTTTTGATTTGCTTCTTCCAGGAAAACCGGCAGCCTCACTACCATGTCGAGTCCTGAGGAAAAGGATGTCAGATACCGTTTTCACTGGAAAGACGAAGGTCCCGACGATACTCCCGAAATGCCTGCAAGATCTCAAGAGTTTAATCCTGTGATAAAAATAGCAACCAGTATCATCATGGGTGTCCTGTTTGGATTAGCTCTGGAAAAGGGCAGAGGTAAGTCACTGACACTGATCATCTCCCCTTTTCCGACAACTCAGTGTACTCTAGTCAAATTTAATTTCTCTTCGTTATAGATGGGAAATTTTAGAGCCTTTGCTTATTGCTAATCGTATGCTGAACTGTAAATATTGAAGATATCTGTCACTTTATTTGAGAGGGGAGGGGGGGGGGAGGTTGTGATCTATTTGTATCAGTACAGCCAAGTGTACCGTTGAGGACATCTCTCTCTCTCTCTCTTGCCCTTTTTAACTCCTAGTGGAGCACAGGCCATCAACAACATTACTCCAGCGAAGCCCATCCTGAGCATCCTTTTCTAGCTGTTTCCATGATGTCCCTGCTTTTTCAATTTCCGCTTGTACCGCTCGCCTCCATGTCACCTTTGGTCTTCCGTTCTTATGTTTTCCTTGTGGGTTCCACGTTAAAGCCTGCCTGATGATGCTTGTCGGGGGTCTCCTCAGGGTGTGGTTGAGGACATCCCACGTAAGAAACCTCACGGGGCCTGTTCAGCTAGTTTCTACAAAGTTAAACTCTAGCTCTTGCCTTTTTTATTGGTCAGGGTGAATAGGAAAGGGTTAAAGTGTATCCACCAGACACCATTGCTGCAACACAAGACTGAGTGAAGTGGAGGTCCATGATGAAAGTGTATCCAGCTCTCTGAATCAGAAGATGCAGATGGCTGATGCGAGCTCTTGTGTTGTGTGTGCCTCTCCTCTGTCTTTTTCAGTGATACTGTCTTTAAAATTATTTTAATAATTGTTTAATAACCTTTCGATTGTCTTTTTTTTTTCTCTGCAGTGTTCGAACCTCAAATAATTCGGCAACAGATGGTGTTACAGAATTTCACCATGATGAAAATGTTTGTTTCAGCATCTGCCACAGGTAGGAGTCTTTTTGGATTAAAAAAGATAATAGTTTCAATGCCATTACAGCAGTTTATACAATATCATATGGACATACAAATGTGCATGCAAGTACTGTTCATTGTTGACTAACACATGGCGGTACAATCACATTGTGCTGTAATATATATGAAATAACAGGCATTAAAGAAGGAGGGGGGGGGAGGGATTTCTTCCTCAGAAGCTAATATTTCCTTTCTGCTTTCTAGAGCCATAACATTTTAGATTTTTCCTCGCTTTGACTTCAAGTGATCATCAAGTTTGTTAATACTGTCGGACCTGCTCTAATATAGATTGTGAAGTGTATAGAGCTTGCTGTTGAGTGGGACTTTGTGCTATACTAATGCTATCTATTATTATTATTATTAATAGCAACCTGCCGAAAATAATCACCCTTGCAAACAATCACTTCTCATTCCCACCCAGCATTTTGGAAATATTATAATGACAATTTCCAAGACATCCACACCTCTAAGACAGTCACTTTTCTCCTCAATAATGAGTTGCCACCTTGGAAAATTTCGACTTAATATCTCAATGGCAGCATTTTGTTATATGAAATACCTGGTTAGCGCTTCTCTGCACTGATCAAGAAAGAAAAAGGAAAGGCTGAAATGACCACTTTTTTTTTGTCCTTGCTCACAGTCGATCGACAATGATAATGAATTTTTTTTACACATGAATATTTACACAGCAATCGGCATGACACCAACAATAATTTCAATTGGATAGACTCTGTATGCTGGTGACTGCAGTGTGCTGAGTGGCCTGTTTTGAGCTGGTGTTGTCTTGTTTAAATCATAGACAATCCTTTCCCATGAGACATCTATCGTCCTTTGTATCTCCTCTTTCTTTCTTTTTTTGTATGTTGATCTCTAGTAACACCTTTAGTCTTCAACATTTATATAAGCTATTGTGTTGCAAGTGCTGTAAAACTATACAATTTAAGATACCTGTATGTTTAGTTAACAATATTTATCCTTTGCTATCATTTTGTGCTTTATTGACAATGATGAAATATTTTGTGTGATTGTAACGAGAATGAGAGATGCACAATTTACTTTGTGCAAGCAAAATGGAGAGACGACTTTTTTTTCCAACAGTAGGGTGCCCATTTGCGGATGGGATCAGATCGGGTCGGGTAGAATAATCACCCGACTCGTCGCCTGAAAATAAAAACAATTCGGCATAGCCTACCGTATAGGTATCACTTCTGATGTTCAGACAGCATGCCGTGGAAATATCAACTACGATCTTCAGACGACATGCCGTTGAAATATCGCTACCCTTTTTTAAAAATACACACCCTTTTGGCTGTCAGTTCAAAAGCTGTGGACTCCAGCTCATCATTCATGTGCTACTTCCCCAGGGATGTTGGTGTTCTCCTTCCTCACGATGATCCCGGCGACTCGTAGGAAGATGCAGCGCGCAGTGCAGGAGTACATGTGTGGTCTCCGCTACAAGACAATCTTTGGGACGGGTCTCGGGGCGGCCATCTTAGGCACCGGCATGACTCTCGCTGGCGCGGTGAGGAACGGTTAATGACGGGATGAATATATTCATTAGGGCTGAAGTCGTTTATCATTGTTTTTGGGTTTGGTTGTTTTTTTATAACTTTTGTCAGACGTTGAGCTAAGCTACAGGTATGCCTGAGTCATTTTTTTTACAGGTTGTGCATATTCCTCGGAAACGAATAAAATGTGATCTGTCTTTGCACCGTGTTCTTGAACTGTTATTTTGTCAAAGGAGATGAGATCATTGTAGAAGTTTTACGCCTTCATCAACACTATTTAGTATTTAGATCGTTTAGAAGGAAGATCAGACAAATCATGGGCTTCAATAAGTGGTCTGTGTTTTCTCTGTGTTTGTTGTTTTGATCAGTGGGTGGTTGGTGGGTATTCTGGTGTGGTCTGCTCCTTTCCTATTAAACATCTGTCGTTCTTATCTCTTCTCCTCCTTTTTTGTGTTTGTCACTCTTTTGTAACATATCTAATCTTCGGAACTTATAAATGACCTTATTGTGTTGCTAGTGCCTTAAAACACCTAATATTACGATACTCTTTTACTAAAACTCAACTAAACTTGTGTCTCCCACAGTGTCCAGGAATGGTGCTAGCTCAGGTTGGGGCAGCCGTCCCGCATTCAGGTGAGGAAATAGGGACAGTTTACACAAGTGACGGTTTACACAAGTGACAGTTTACAAAAGTGACAGTTTACACTAGTGACGGTTTACACTAGTGACGGTTTACACAAGTGACTGTTTACACAAGTAGTTTACACAAGTGACAGTTTACACAAGTGACGGTTTACACAAGTGACAGTTTACACAAGTGACGGTTTATAGTTTTACACAAGTGACAGTTTACACAAGTGACAGTTTACACAGTTTACACAAGTGACAGTTTACACAAGTGACAGTTTACACAAGTGACAGTTTACACAAGTGACAGTTTACACAGTTTACACAAGTGACAGTTTACACAAGTGACAGTTTACACAGTTTACACAAGTGACAGTTTACACAAGTGACAGTTTACAACACAAGTGACAGTTTACACAAGTGACAGTTTACACAAGTGACAGTTTACACTAGTGACAGTTTACACAAGTGACAGTTTACACAAGTGACAGTTTACACGAGTGACGGTTTACACAAGTGGCAGTTTACACGAGTGACGGTTTACACAAGTGGCAGTTTACACAAGTGACAGTGCAGAAAGCATATTTGTCTCTTCAGCGGATAGTTGGAGGACACCTCTTGTAGGGTCCTACTTCGTTACTTTCCCTCTGTTGTTTCTGTCTGTCTGTCTTACTTTTTCCCAGCACTAAATGACCAATCTTCAAAAGCGCCCTGACAGTCATCCAGTCTATGGGATAGGTGAAGGTGAAATGACCTTTATTGTGTCGATGTGCTTCTCCTTACTCAAAAAAAAGGGCATTTATTCTTTGTCTTAACACAACACACGTGTAGCGAAATTCAGAATGAAAATATTTCTTTGTCCTGCCAGTTTCACTATGTGTGTGCTAGACTATAGTTGTTTTATGACTTACTTCATTTATTTAATGTCTGCTGCTTTTCAGTTCTGTGGGTGGTTGGCGGGTGCTCTGGTGTGGTTTGCTCCTTCTATCCTATCAAACATCTATCGTCCTTATCTCCCCTTCTTCTTTTTTTATGTTTGTTACTCTCTTGTAACACCTCTAATCTTCTGGCGTTCATCATATGACCTTATGCAGTTGCGAGCGCCGTAAAACCTCTACTAAAACCAAACTTTTCAGTTCTGACTGTGACGGGCGGCCTGCTGGGTGTTTACCTGTACGCCCTCACTGACCCGGTCCTTCCCTACTCCATTTACAGGAAGAGGGCGAAACAACCGTCAAAGTAAGTTCTTTTCTCTTTAGATTTCCCTTTTTTGTATATGTACAGCATAATTAGCTTGCTTTGTGTGCAAATGTAAGATAAAGATGTTTTTGATGTGCTATACAGCGGGAGAATTCAGTAAAAGTCGTTTTATGAACAGAATTGAGGTTTTGTTTTGAGTGAAAGAAGTAACATTCAGTGTTACGAAGCTTTATGGAATACAATAAACCAGATTGCACAGATTATTTTACTTTTTCCACATAGATTAATGGTACAATCATCATCACCTTCAGCCTTCATCACTCTCAAAGACACATTGCAACCCCCCCCCCCCCCCCCCAAAAAAAAAAATTTATAATTTTTTAATTAAAAAATTCTCCTAACATCTTGTCCAATTACATGACATTTGTATAGCATTCTACCCCGATTGAAGAACACAGGCTCTGAGCGCTTTACAAATACAGGTAACAACCACAGACAATACTTTATGTTGTGACTAAAATCATATTATAATACATATCTTTTTCATCTGAGAAGAAAACTGACTAGAGTTGAATTTTGACTACATGCTACTTACATTTGATGTTTAGTTTACTTGTTATTTGTTGTTCTGATGATTTTCAGACTGGATGAGCAAATGGGCACACCTTACTTCAACATGGCTCTTCCATTGGCTGCTCTCATGGGTCTCTTTGTCTTTGGGCTTGAGGTTTTCTTCCCGTGGACCACTGAGGTAATGTAATGATAATAATGTTAGTTGTATTTATATAGTGCATATCTACGCTCAACAGCATGCTCTATATGCTTTACAACCATTATTACCCCAACAGATCCTAGAACACTCATAAATATTCTTGGCTTCCCAGGAAGCATACAGTGGCAGCTGTGGATTTCATGCGCTCAAACATGAACAAACATACAAGATCTTTCACTGTCCATAGCTGGATACCCATTTCCACCATGGAGAATTAAGGAAAATTCATGCAAAGTGCCTTTCTCAAGGACACATCGTCTCGTCCCTGACAGGATTCGAACCCACAACCTTATGGTTGCGAGTCTGGTAGCCTAACCACTGGACCACTGACACCACAAATGTAACAGTAAGGAGACAGGTTCATGTAGGGCGATGCTTGCCAATCTGGGAAGTATCCCCCACTAGTGGGCCGGTTTGGTTTATTTTTGTAGGCGTTGATGCTCACCCTCATACTGACAGGTGTTAATGCCCCACTTGGAAATACATTGAGATGGGTTTCAAGGAAATTTTAACTTCTTAAAGGTGGCAAAGTGGCGAGCCGGAGGGAAAAGGTTAACGCATGCTTTGCTCTTTCTGACACTGAATGACTTGTTTTATGTTGATTCGACTCTCCCTTCTCAAATCAGACACCCAAAACAGACAGCATGACGACTTGTGTATAATACAGGCGATATACTTTGGTTCCAAAATCGGCTCATTTTTGTAGGTCGTGACTATAATACTGGACGAATTTCTGACATGACGGAGTGGGCTCAACAAGCAAGAAATCAAGTACCAGTCACGCAAATGTACTGAATATTTCATGCAAAAATCAAGAGTAAAATTCAGGAAACTAGTTCTGTTAACAATATTCTGTCCAATGCTAATTTCACATCAGTTATCAATGATTAAAAGGAAAATGTCTTAAGAAAGGGGCTTATGTTTTACGTATAATATGAGGGGGTATACTTGTTTACCTCTTTCTTCTTTTAACACTTTGCGGTTTCTTGGCGCAATAATGCGCTGGTGAAAATTATCCGTTCTGGTCACCTGGCGCCAGACCGGAGAAGTCCTATGCAGTCGCTCTCCTGGCTGGGTGACCAGATGGGGTATTTTGTACTCCTGGCTGTGTGACTGCAAAGTGTTAAATTGCTCATATTGTGGGTGAATATTTTATAATAATCATTAATAATAATAGTAATTGTTTCTGCAGGTGGAACAGTCTGGCTCGGGTCTCTTCGGCCTGAGGTCATGGCCTCCTTTTGTGGTGGGAATGTTGATCGGATCGCTCCAGGCTCCGGCAGTTCTCATCCTCCACGACACTTTAGGTACGTCTCCTAGCGTAGTTTTATGAGTCTTGGAAAAATCTTTGTTTGAGATGTCAATACCCTGCTGTCTCCAAGCATAGTTTTATGAATCTTGTAAAAGGTTTTGTTTGAAATGTCAATATCCTGCTGTCTCCTAGGGTAGTTTTATGAATCCTGTGAATTCTTTGTTTGAAATGTCAATGCACTGCGGAGCAGCTGCACATTTATCGTAATTTTTTCAAATTTTACAGGAGGAAAAAAAACCAACTGATTTTTCTCTGCAATATCTTTCATATCAAGATAAATTGTATGGAACTTTACCACTGTCCATTTTTTAAACAGTCATTTAACTCTGAGGTTTTGTACAAGGCATATGCCCCTCACCAGTGCCTTGGAATCTGTTTTTAAAAAAGTGATTTTTTTGCTAAAACCCTGAGCGAAGATTGTTGAGCTGTTACCCTCTCAGCATGTTCTATTCTTCAAACACTGACGGGTTACAATACTTCTGCTGTTACTGAAATTGCTAACGGCGAGTCTCACTATTTCAGTATATCATTATATTATAGAAGTAAATATACAGAGAAAAACGGAGAACAAGGATTGTCTCGTTTAGACCAGGTTCTCGTTATTTCAATTGTCATTATCTTATCATCGGTGGACCCCATGGTGTGTATCTTCAGCTTTCCTTTTATCTGCAGGTTCCAGCTCTAGCTATTGCACCATAGCGTCTCAGGCTCTGCACATTCCCCCTCTCGAGAGGCCGCTCGCTTATCTCAGCGGGTTCACCAGCGGCATGTCAAACTGGTGGCAGGTAGGACTTGTCAGTGTTTCCTCATCAGAAAGTGATAGATCTGAAACTGACGTCGGCGATCAGGGTTCGCCGTTCGCCATTTCTCTGCTTGCATGCTCTTTAAAAAATCCTATATTATCCTAGTTGGCCTCAAAACCTGCTCATGGTGCTCACTTGCTACCAAAGTTTTCGGCTTAACCAATCCCCAGAATGAGTGGAAGTTCTTTTGATAGATTACAGTTTTGGTGGAAATTAAATGATGGAAGAATGTAGAAAGTGGCATCAGTTGAAAATGAACAAGTTTGACTCCTTTGTCGATTTTCAGCCGATATCTCTAATCATAGATTGAGAGATGAGAAGTAACTCATTTTGTCAGGACGCCTCACAATTAGGCCTATCTGGGGGTTTCCCCCACTGCCCAACATATCATATTTTTCTACTTTCTAGTGTTTGATTTTCGTGTGTATTGGAAGAAATATATTTTACTTTCTAGTGTTTCATTCTCATGTGTTTTGGAAGAAATATCTTTTACTTTCTAGTGTTTGATTTTCGTGTGTTTTGGAAGAAATATATTTTACTTTGTAGTGTTTGTGGGAGGTTGGCGGGAACTCTGGTGTGGTTTGCTTCTTCTTTCCTATCAAACATCTAACGTCTTTATCTCCCCTCATTCGTTTTTGTGTTTGTTACTCTCTTGTAACACCTTTAATCTTCGGCACTTATGTGACCTTATTGTGTTGCAAGTGCCGTAAAACTAAACTAAAACTTTCTAGTGTTTGATTCTCGTCTGTTTTGGAAGAGATATAATATACTTTCTAGAGTATCATTCTCATGTGTTTCCCCCCGCCACCCAACATATATCATATTTGGAAGAGATATATTTTCCTTTCTAGTGTTTGATTCTCGTGTGTTTCGGAAGAGATATACTTTACTTTCAAGTGTTTGAGATTCCCATATGTTCTCCTCCGCCAGGTGATCTTTGTGGGCGGTGCTGTTGTGGGAGCGCATCTGTCGGCCCAGGCGTCGGGAACTCTGCACACCGTGGACGGCGTGGGCCCGATGAGCGCGCTGGTGGGTGGTCTGCTCATGATCTTCGGAGCTAGGATGGCCTCCGGATGCACCAGGTGAGGGGACGCACTGAACGAGTCCACAGGGAAAAATTGCACACTTTTTGATTCTTGAAAAGGTTTTAACTAATAAATGACGAGAATGAGGAAAAAGAAGAAGAAGAACTGATAAAGAGTTGTATATCTTCGCCGCGGAATCAGAGGCTCGTCAAAATTTAGGAAATGCAGAAATCGGTGTTCCTCCTACTGTAAGGTGATTTTTATTCATTTTGTGTTTTGCACAGAAACCCTCTCTCTCTCTCAAGGGTGCAGTGGCGGAGCGGTTAGTGGGCTCGCCTCCGAAACGGAAAGTCCGGGTTCGAGCCTCGGTTCAGACGCAGATTTTTTTCGCCCCCTCCTGCCCACCCAGCAGTAATGGGTACCTGACTTCGAGTTGGGGAAATAAAGGCGGCGTGGAAAGGAACTGGCCACCCTACCACAATATGCCGAAGGCCCAGGAAGTTGTCTCTCTAACAAGAGACTTCCCAATGTCCTGATCGGATATATATATATATGGGAATATCTTTCCTTTTTGCCCTTCTTGGATTCCAGCAATAGCCGGACACAGCTGTAAGGAGATATTGTGTGTATTCCCTTACTTGCACTATTGCAGTATTTGTCGACTGTGCTTTGTTTTGTCTTTTTTTTTTTTGTCTCATGTCCGTTTTTGGTTCTGTGCCAACATGGTACAAACTATTATGCTTCAAGAAAAACAAGAAAAATTCATATTGTTTGGTTTGTAGTAATGATGATGATGATGATAGTGATAATAAAGAAGTTAATAATAATGATGATGATGATGATGATGATGATGAAGAAGTTAATGATTATATTGATAATGATGAAGAAGAAGTTAATGATGATAATGATGATGAAGAAGTTAAGGATGATGATGATGGTGAAGAAGTTAAGGATGATGATGATGGTGAAGAAGATAATGATGATAATGATGATGAAGAAGTTAAGGATGATGATGATGGTGAAGAAGATAATGATAATAATGACCTTTGTTTTTATCTTCCCCCCTCAGTGGTCACGGACTGTCTGGCATGGGTCTCCTGTCACTTCACTCCCTAGTGGCCGTGCCTGCCATGTTTGCGGGCGCCATTGGCACCGGGTGCCTGATGAAGTACGCTCTGGAAGTGGACATGTAGGCAGCGAGAACTACAAGGGCTTATCATCCCACTGCTTGTATGTGAGGTGTGTGCTGACAAAATGCGTGACGTCTCGGATTTTTTGCCGTATGTAAAAATTGATGCGTCAACTTTGTAGGTGGAGTTTGTACAATTTGTAAGTCCTTGACCATCAATGATTTATTTATAGCGGCACCAGCCATCCATGTACTAGGTGCGGTTTTTTACCCGTCTGCTGGGACATTTCAGTAACCCACTTTCAGCACTTTTAGTCTTTTTAAGGACCCCCAGGCAAGTGTTGAGTTCCTGCATGCTGTCGGCATTGCTGACCGTTTATGACGCCACAGCGCCAGAAGAGAGAGAAAGAGAGAGAGAGAGGTGCTGTTTTAGCCACAATTTGTCGGTATGGAATAATAAAAGACACGGTAGACTTGAACAAAATGGCATCAACTGAAAATCTATATATAAGTCTGACCCCAGTGCTGATTCTCTGCCAATACCTCCATTCTTGGATCGCGAGAAGTTACTCATTTTGTCAGCACGCCTCACTTATACATCTACGCTAAATCATCGCATTGCTAGATTGAGAAAGTCTTACTTGTGTAAATAACCCCTTTTTTTTTTGTATTGCATTTTTAAGAAGTTCGAACTGCTTATTAAAGGGAAATGGTATATTGCTGTGTGAGTGACAGACGCACAAGTTTGCTTGAATTTATTCAAAGAACTGATTGTAATATTTCAGACACTTATCAATCTGAGTAATCTTTCAGACACTTGTCTGTCTGAAAAATTGGACCATATCAAAAAACTTGTGACTCATAAAAGTAAAAATGGCATACCTTTACGAATCCGGTTCATCGTTGTTACATCTATAGGTTTTTCCTGCATTTGTTGAAACAAAGATTTTTTCACTTGTGATACAATGCCTTTGTTCCCCGTTTTTATATTTGTTGCTGAGACTCTTCCATAAAAGGAAGGGTACAACATTTCTAGACCCATGAAGTCAGCATTTCGTTGTTCCTTTGATTTACAAAATTTTCACAGTTGTAAAGCTCAACTTTTGCATTAACATAATCATGTGTTCATGTATTTATATGCCCTCAGGGAATTTTTCCTTGTTTTTGCAAGCCAGTGAATCCCCCCACCCCCCACCCCCATCCCACCCCCTTTTGGGGGAATTTTGAGACAAGGGATGAATTATTGTCATTTTGAAATTCTTATTATCCAAAGGACTTCGAGAAAATAATAAGAACATTTATGACTCTGATCGGTGGCCCTTAGAAACATGTCAGTAGGAACCTACGCATTTGTGTACTCACAGGGCCACTCACCCCTGACACATTCCTCTAGGCTAACCCACACACATACATATGGCAACCCCCCTCCCCCCCCCCCCTAAAAAATTAATGTACACACATACACACACACACACACACACACACACACACACACACACACACACACACATCTATAAACGCCTACCTAATTAAACATGTGTGTATTCATTACGGCTATGGAAAATGCAAAAAACAAACCATTATTTCAACTTTATCTCTTGGTTGAATTCATTCTGTTTTAGTTTTTGTTTCTTCAACTTTTGGATTGTTGCAATTTGTTCAACTGCAAGGGCATTTTTTTCTCATGAAAGAAACCATTGTTAGAATAATAAATGTGACAACATAAGCCAATATAATGTACAGAAGAAAGAGAAGCAGGAAACTCCAGCTACTTATTATGTTTTCTTGAGACAGAATCTGGATTCCTGTTTATTTCAAATGAAACTTCAAACTGCAATTTATACCATATTTATTTATTTGTTGTTGTTTTTTTTTATTTTGTGTTGTGTGGCATTCATTGCTTGCCTGGTGCTGAAAAAACATTTTTGCAAGCCAATTATTATTTACTGTTGATTGCATATTTTGTTATACTCTCCCCGTATAATTATAATATTGATAATAGAGATAAATGAATATGTTGGATTGTTTATCCTCTTGTATGGGTAGTTTGAGATGGTTTGGTTTAATTTGAAATTCCAGTGACATTCCACCTGTTGTACCCATTTAGGCTGTTTAATAAAGGATGACTGTATAATAAGAGAATAGGTCAGCATATCACAGATCCCTGTACCCAACAAGGCTGTACTTGTTTTATTCTGTCCATAAACCTTTATGGGTGGGTGGTTGGCGGGTGCTCTGGTGTGGTTTACTTCTTCTTTCCTATCAAACATCTATCGTCCTTAAAGGATCTCCCCTTCATCTTTTTTATTTTTGTTACTCTCTTGTAACAGCTCTAATCTTCTGGCACGCATATGACCTTATGCAGTTGCGAGCGCTGTAAAACCTCTACTAAAGCTAAAAACCTTTATGGGACTGTGCTACCTCTGGTGATTTATTTAGTGACATAGCCAAAGAAAAGTGCCCAAGGTAGGCACCGTCATTCCAAGATTTATTGATTACTTTGTTACTAACTAATCTGAAAGCATTGTCATTCAAGCCATTGGTTATACACTGCAAACATATCGATGTGTCATCAACATTCAAACGATGTTTAATAAACTTTGCACTGCTGCACACTTTGATCCATAGACAACAGAATCTTCTCCAGATTTAACCAAATTAAAGTTCAGCTGGTTTAAGTTCTCTTCATGTTTTCATACCAGTTGAAAATAGAACTACAAATATTCCTGGTCTTTGTAATATCACTGCCTCTTCAAGTTATAGAATATGGTGCAGACGCAAAAGTATCAACCCCCGGGGCAGTGCCACTGACTGACTGTAGTGTCTTTAGGCCATTCCCAAAGTGGGGAAATTTCTCATTCAAGCATAGTAGAATTGTAAATGGGCTGACTCATGTCACGCTCATAACTGTGCCTGATCTACAACAGGGAACTGCTGCTTTTTCTTTCCTGATCCTTACTATTGTCATTTTCCTCTACTTCTTTTGTATATTTGTCACTCTTTTGTGACCTGCTATTTCCGGGGTGCCTTGATAGTGGAAGCAGACCTTGTGCTGTTGAAGCTAGAGAGGTGAGCAGAGTAAGTCTGATTCCCTGTAAAGACTTCTCTGTTGACATCCACCCTTTGGCGCTCATATGACCTTATACAGTTGCGAGCGCAGTAAAACCCTTTACTATAAAAAAAAAAGACCAGTTTGAACTACGGATATTCTGACCTTTGTAATATCACTACCTCTTCAAGTTGGTAGAATATGGTGCAGACGCTAAGGAAGCAAATGAAACAAATGATATCAGAAAGCGCCTTCTTTTGTGTGAAAGCGTGGAGAAAGGGACAAAAAGTTGGCCCATAGTACAATGTACAATTTTCAAGCTTCTGGTTGATGAAGTAAAAAAGCAGTATTTTGACCGAAATGTGTTCACATTAAAATTTTAAAAAACAATAGTACCACCATATCTGAACCATAATTTGAAAGGATCATCATTTATTTGACTTATAAGTTAGTATTTTATTATGAATTATTCGGACAGTTTGGTAGGGTCTTCACAGTGTCATGTGATTGTCAAACTTCCATTTTCTTGATATCTTGTCTGTATAATATCTTATTTCACAAAACATGCATTATCCTGTCCCCATCGTTTTATGCAAGAAAAATTCTGAAATTATGCAAACTGAGCCCAAAAATGTGAAATTATGTGATTCTGTTAATTTTAACAAAGAATGACAAAGGAAAATAATCAGAAATTATGCAAAAAATGATCAAATTTTGCTAAATTATCCGGGGTGCATAAAACCACCCGGACAGATTATCCCAAAAACTACTTGAGATTTCTGAAAATATTTTTTTCAACCACTATGTTTAGCATTAAATTTTCGCTGATCTAAAAAGTTTCAAAATCGGACTTTTGCTGCTTTTCTTCAGGCATGAACCCACATTATGCCCACATTATGCCCCCATTATGCCCCCATTGCTTGGCGGTTGACTGTAAAGTTTGGGTGGTGCTAGCCCCTGGTTGAAAGTGTGGGACCGTCACTCGTATGATTACCTCAAGGAGAGTAGGTGCTTGCCAGTTCCTGAGTCAAGAGAACATCCCCGCTCCGGAGTCATAGCTCCACTTTCTGTCATAGGTCCCACTTAAAGTTGAACTACTAATATGTTTTACTTGCCATTAATTAGAATAAATTCACATTTGTTGGCTCATGCTCATAACAATAGAATATGTAATGCAAATTACTAACATTTTTCTCAAGTTTTACAAATGACTAAAAGTTGGTCTTTGGATCAGGCCCGACTTCTTTTTGTCAAACTGTTTAACAAATGTTGCATCAAAATCACTCAGGAAAAAAACAATTTATGCGTATTATGTGAACTGTATGATGTCTTGTTCTTTCACACTTTGTCGTCACATCTCGCTGATCGGCAACGTTTACCACCCAGTTTCTTTGGATTTTCCCCTAAATGCCTTTGCCTTTGATGGCAAGGGTTTTTACTATATGAGCCTAGAGATGGCAAAGAGTTAAGCGTCCTTACACCTAACTGGACAGTAGATGGGAAACTAATCAGAAAGAATTTTTACAGATTAGTTTGATTGATTTTTATTGTAATGTAAGTGATGTCCACTGTATTGTGTCATGAGCAGTACGAACATGACATGATGCCTGGTTATTGTGCACCTCCTTCTTCTCCTTGGCAGCTTCAACGTCTGTCTATATTTTTTACTTTTTTTTAGTGTGTCGTCACCCTTGTTCACCATACAGTGTCCTTGAATGTACCGAACCTTCTTGAATGTTCAGGTGTCCTCCTTACACACACACATACATACACACAATGATGTACTCAAGCTATTCACCAGAGGTCACCGTCCTCTACCGTTTTTTTCTCCCATTTCTCAAGGAGATTCCCGGTACTTTCTTGTTTCTTGATCTTTCTTGACTGATCTCCCCCCCTACGAGCTTATCAAAGGCTGTACTGTAAAAATGTAAATACTTATTTTCTTGCCACAAACATTCGACACTTGTGTGACAAGTAAATATATGTATGGCTATTCAGGAACATATTCCTGTTGGGACACTTTCCTTTCTTCTTTTTTCTACTTATTGAACAGAAATTCCTCTGAAACTCCACATGGACCACATTTCGCAGGCTTGCCAACTTTTGAGATACTGAATTCTGGAATTTGATTGCACCGGAGTGCCACAGACACACTTCTGTGATAGGCTACTAACTACTAAAAAAAAACACTGACGATGTGTATTAAATATTTGAATCGAGTACGATTACCAAGTAATCTTTGATCTCTCTTGCCCTTTTTAACTCCCAGTGGAGCACAGGCCATCAACAACATTAATCCAGCGAAGCCTGTCCTGAGCATCCTTTTCTATCTGTTTCCATGATGTCCCCGCTTTTTCAATTTCCGCTGATAGCGCTCGCCTCCATGTCATCTTTGGTCTTCCCTTCTTACGCTTTCCTTGTGGGTTCCATGTTAAGGCCTGCCTGATGATGCTTGTCCGGGGTCTCCTCAGGGTGTGTCCAATCCATTTCCATTTCTTCACCTGAATATCTTCCTTTACTGGCCTTTGGCTTGTTCTCTCTTTGATAGTGATTGTCAAAACCAATACCCAACTAATGCATCGATCCCGATTTCCTGAGTTTGCAATACCCCTTCGTCCTCAGCATTTCTCTGCCTTCGCGTTTTGTTTTTTCTAAGAAAATGATTTTTTTTTTAATTTGGGAGTGGTGGGGTATCACGATTTATCGGGAAACCGGCGTTTCAGGGAAGGTTGGGGAACGACGATGGCAATTCGGGAATTTCCCCAAAAATTCGGGAAGGTTGGCAAGCCTGCTTTCCCAAATGAATCTCTAGTTGTGATGAGTAGATTCGCATCCAACAAAAAAGTTTTCATCAAAACCTGCATGCATTTTATCCACTGAATCTGACTATATTTAAATCAAACTGAATCAAAGTTATCCTTTTTTTTTTACATGTCCGGCATGTTGGATATAATAAAATTTGGAATTTTGTTCAATCCGCATTTGTCTCATTTCTTTGAAAACCATCTATGCTGTACAGTACTAGTGTACATGTTTCTACACTTGTGCGGGGAAAAGAACTTGAGGGAAAATGTTATAATTATAATCTTCGTACATGTACTCAATAAACAGATAAAAGAATTAAAAGCTAGCATATTATTTCAATAAAGTGCAAGTTTATACCCTGGTTCGTATTTATCTTGCTGCCAGAAGTATTCGAAAGTGCACACAAGTACATTTCTGCAAAATAGTGGTAGCAAAAAGAGCTTTGTCCTTAACTATAAAAGAGAACTTTTTTTGCAAAAATTTTTCAAGTTCAAGCCATGGGCAAAAAAAGGGGTTATTTTTTTTAGTAGCAAATATTGCTTTTTTTAAGTCTTCAAATTCGGAAATCACATAAGTCCACACAATACACACTACTGATTTTTTTAAGCAGGTAAACTGTCACAGCGCAATATGCAAGACCTGTGGACCGCATCCTCCAACCACCCACTAAAGGACCATTCATCAGGTGACAACCATTGACTTTAGGAGCCATTATATAATAGTGCAGTAGGACTTACTGGAGGAGGCAAGTTTTATGCCCTCAACACAGTTTCAATCTTTTAAAATCCCTGCCAGTCTGCGGCAAACTGAGCTGAGTAAGACACAACATCCCAGCAGACAGACGGAGATACTGGATAAAAATACCTCCCCACTCAGGAATTGAACCCGCATCTGCGTGCAATGGTGAAGAGCCTAACCGTTACACCAAAAATGCCAGTCGCACTCCGGTATTGGGAGCAGCACTATCCAAATCATACGTACTACAAGTACAAGCACTATCCTATTCAAAGTGCGAGTACTGCGGTGTAAAGTCTTGCATGCAAACTGTCCAAGCTTACTACACTTTCATTCAACCTCAGTCACACATCGTACTCAAAATGAAAAAGAAATCCACCTGACAGACAAGACTATTTGCATAATATTTACTTGTCACTGGAATAATCAGTCACATGATTGCACATTCTTCAGCAGTCAGAAGCTGACAAAAGTTCATAATACATTTCGTGACATAAAAATAACGCAACGTACATTTTGTTAAAATATATATATATATATATATATATATATATATATGATTTTGTTAAGAACATGCACTATTGTAAGAGTAAAGCTTCACAGAAAATTCCAGGACCTTCTTCATCATTGCATATATGCAACAAGAACATTGCATCAGCAACAAGAACATTGCATATATGCAACAAGAACATTGCATCAGCAACAAGAACATTGCATATATGCAACAAGAACATTGCATCAGCAACAAGAACATTGCATCAGCAACAAGAACATTGCATATATGCAACAAGAACATTGCATCAGCAACAAGAACATTGCATATATGCAACAAGAACATTGCTTCAGCAACAAGAACATTGCATCAGCAACAAAAACATTGCATCAGCAACAAGAACATTGCATATATGCAACAAGAACATTGCATCAGCAACATCATCATCTGGCCTTGCCTTACAACAGTTAAAAACAAAAAAAGCTAAAATTAAAAATCAACTTTTACTTTTTCTCATTCTTGGCCACAAGCACTTTCGAACTGACTAAAAATGTCAGTAAGTAAACGCTCAGATGACAAAAATCTCTTTTCTTCCAAGACTTCTCTTTTGAGATGTGTCCTAATACACATTTTTAACAAAGCTAAACATGTTAATACTGTACTATCTGTGCCAAATACATCACTAAAAAAAAGTAAATCTTAAAGATATCTCACTTATTGCAAGTCTTTTTGAATGAGGATTTCTATTTGTGTTTCAATTTTAAAAAAGAAATAATTCTCTTAAATATACTTTCGTAATAAGTAGTCTACCTTATGATAATGATTCATAGATATTCCAAGAAACTCATTAGCCTTGAAACTTAGTCCAGCATTATTTTTTTTTACCTTAGGAAATAAACGGTGTACAAAGTTGCCTCCCACAGATTCTTTGCTAGGATACAAAATCGCCATAATTCAAAGTCCTTAAGCTCTCCGAACGTAAGACCGGCCGTGCTGCCTAGCCAACTGCCACATATTTTAGAGTCTCCAAATTTTCCCCGCAATGTATTCACAGACCATTGACCATTCATCTAAACCACCAGTTGTTTACTACTTTTTAGAGAGCATTATAAAAATATTATATGGAATATAATGTTCAGCATCGTGGTGAAATCAGGCACTTGTCAAAATAATGGAATCGAGGAAACCAACATTTTTCCGTTTATTGGGCAATTTTAATTAAATTTCTTCTTCTTTTTTTTTTGACTCAACACCTTTTATGTCCATTTAAAAACACATTTCTGTGTAAATTTTACTTTAAAAAGTTGATCAAAGGCACAAAAAATATAAATATTTGCAGCAGCAAACTTCGACGGCCATTTTCTCCTTAAACATACCCCTGACACACAGCAACCCAAAACCTCCTTCACTTCTATTCAAGACAGATATGTAGTTTTTAAAACAAAAGCCAGACAAATAAACAAGCTTTAAGACAATACCAATAGCTCAATATGCCTGAAAATTGACAAGTTCCTGATTTCACCATACCACGACAGATATGAACTCAAAAGTAGATAGCTACAGAGATATTCTTCGTTTAGAGTTCTCCCTTCACTTCTCAATTTGCCTCCAGTCAATTGTGACTTCTCAACTCCAAAGGGTCCTCACAGACTGCTATTCTGTAGCACAGCCCTTAGATACATCTTGTGGTTGACGGGTGCTCTCGTGTGGTTTGCTTCTTCTTTCCTATCAAACGCCCTATCGTCCTTATCTCCCCTTCTTCTTTTTTTATGTTTGTTACTCTCTTGTAACACCTCTAACCTTCTGGCGCTCATATGACCTTATGAGGTTGCGAGCACCGTAAAACCTCTACTAAAACTAAACTAACCTGAGTAACCCCTGTGACAGTTCATCCAGTTCTGGTCTTGCCTCTCGTCTCACACACCTAACTAGAAAGCATTGTGAACTGCAAAACCTAAAAGTGTACCGGTACATAAAACTTCTAGCGTATTTCATGATCTATTCTAAAAGTGAAAGTTGCGTAACATACCTTACTATCATACTCGTATTATTAGATCAAATATTTCTATTTAAAACCCCAAAAAAATGGCATTATTATAGACAGCCAAAGGAAATAGAACTAAACTCCGTATACAGTCAGCACAAGCTTCAAACTCCTCACAGTAATTTTGATTTTAGTGCACAAGGATTTTTCTTTAACACTATCCGTACGCTCTTGGGTCATTTTGTACCCTCGGGGTTGTATTTTCTTCACATTTTAGAATACTTCTAGTACAAAGATCTCTTTGAAACTGTCAGTATTCTCAAAACATCATTTTGACAGACTAGATGCAAAGCGTACGGATAGGATTAACAAGTAAATTTCCTCTTTGGAAGTGGCGGCACAGAGTTCCCCACATTGTATGGATACGATAGTAAAACACAACGTACGGATAGGGTTAAATTGACTTATATACAACAATAACCACAATGTCTTTAAACACAGTCTCACTGCTCAGCACAAAATGCAATGGTTTGGTGACATGAAACTAAATGAAACATTTACCCCCCCCCCCCCTCCACACACACACCCACTGTCCTGTTCCTAAACTGCTTATCTGACATTTTCATACAGCAGGCTGTAGAACAGTCAAAGAACAGAAGTGGGTGGCTGACAGGTGCTCTGGTGTGGTTTGTTCCTTCTTTCCTATCAACCATCTATCATCCTTCTATCTCTCCTCCTTCCTCTATTTGTACATCACTCTCTAAAAACACCTCTAATCTTCAGCACTTACATGACCTGGTTGTGTTGCAAGTGTCATAAAACTTTTACAAAAACTAAAAACTGAAGAATGGAATCAGGTTAAGTATATGAATCCACGGACACTCTCCTTCAAGGCTCTATCTATACTGTCATTACTACCATAGATTCTCCAGTCTCTTTAAGTCACTACCACATGGACAAGAAAAGCAATATACTGCTGCATAACACATATAACAACAGCCCCACAAGTTTAAAATACACACCTTTCTAGATAGTTCTCCTGTCACTCGGCTCTGATTCATCACATTCTTTTCAGCAGTTATTAAAACAAACATTATTTTACTACTTACTACTTCAGAGAGTAAAAGACACATGAATTCTGTCAGCATCAACACAGTTATCGTAAGTCCTACGTCAGCTCAATCAGTCAGTCGTGCAGTCAACAAGACAGTCAAGCGTGTGTATCTCGGTCTAACTCACTCCAGTCAAACACACAACAAAGATAAAAGTTTACTACACGTACTTCTAAAAGTTATTATTATGCTTTTTAGCACCATGCTGTAATGCAACAGTACACATTATAAATTGTTATGCTTGAACTTGAATTTTTCCTCACTTCAATTAAAACTCACATACACAATAACTTCATGTTCAGTGAAACGCGCATCATAAAGCTCGCCAAAATCAAAACATACAGGAAAGATATGGAAAAAAACGAAGAAGAGTAATCAAAGGGGACATTTGGGCAGGCCCAAACTGCGACATATTGACCACGGAATTTCTCAACTCCAAAGACAAAGTAATGACAAGGTTACAATGTATGCCTTGGTTAGTACACATCAGAGGATTAAATATATAGTTACACACCAGAGAGGAAAGAAAGATAAAACAACGACGCATATGCTAACGGGATGCACAGAAATACTTGTTACTAACAAGTGAAGATACTTCAGAGGCATGAAATACAAGAAACAGGTTTTTTGTACAAAATGACGATAGATCTATTGTATAGCTAGCCGTGGCCAACACCATGGACCTGAGCACACACACTGGGAGTAATCTAACTTGTTCCCTTCTACGCACAGAGTGCACACCTCAGCATGCTGACAGGGTGGTTCGAGGAGGATGCTCTTGTGTGGTCTGCTCCTTATCTCTCCTCCTTTTCTTTGCATGCTACTCTTCAGTAACACCTCTAATCTTCAGCAATCATACGACCTATTTGTGTTGCAAACGCTGTAAAACTCTCAGTAAAACTTTTTAAAAACCTCAGCATCCATGGCACAAATCTAGCAGTCTACTCAAGGGAGCTCAGGGGCAAAGGTCCTGTAAGGGTAAGGCTCTGGGAACTAGAACACGAGGGGGATGGGACTATAGGTGACCTCTGATACATGGCTCCTCGGGATAAAGGAGCCAGATCTTAGCCTTGGCAAGGATCACTATTTGGACGTCGACTCTTTGTGCATGTAGCATCAACATTTTTCTACAATGCTATAGAAGATGGCGCAAAAGGTTACAATGCTATTTCCCCTCATTAACTGGCTACTTTGCATTTACTTGTGAAAATCTGACCAATAGAGGCAGAGTCTAACAACCCTCACAGACTGTAAGAGCCCGTAACAAGTCACACCCTACCAATAGCTGGAGTCTCTAACAAGCAGTTTTAGGGACAATTGCTATTCAGATCCACCTTTTGAGTGCATTCGAGGGCACCCATATCTAGATATCTAGAAGCCTTGCTTTTTGGAGTAGGTTTTCATTTCTATTGGTCCCCTGCAACTTTCAAGCCCACCTAACCCCAAAATCCGAGTGTGCGCAGAGCCTGTAGTAAGGTTTCCTTAGATAAAAGTTACAGAAGGTGCCACAGGCCAATATATATAGATATAAAAATTATCTGCGGTGTCACAAGAAATATGAGCAACTCCAGTGTCTATTTTTTCCCTCCCCCAGTAAATCAGGGACAAACAGTGTAACACCACATTCCTGCAACAGCACCAACAATATAGTCAACATTTAGTCCTCATGGCCTGTGGTTTCAACACCTAGCCATGACACTTGGGACAGAGAAGGAGAGAAGAAGACAGAAATACAACATTAATTCATATATATATATGGTAGCATTTCAAATCATTTACTATTTCATTTTCAAAATTTGAAAAAAGGTAAAGAATCAAGGGGTTGGACACTACACATCAACTCATTCCAGAAAGAACGAGCAAAAAATACAGAAATTCGACCTTCAACTCTCCACCATTCAGGACAATTCCTTATCACAACCACCCAACCACAGCCAGCCCGTGGCCTTCATGTCCCTCGTCGCCAACACCGCGAGCTAACTTCCTTTACACGTCTGACATTTCAAGTCAATAGCTTCCACAAATCTCACGTCACTCTGACATTGCCAGCCAAATCTGTCATGGTCAGTCAACTGCCTTCCCAAATATGTCATGCCCGTCTAAAGTCTTCTCAAATATGTCATTGTCAGCCAATAGTTTTCAGCAAATATGTCATTGTTAGCAAACAGTTTTCACAAATCTGTCATTGTCAGCCAATGGTTTTCAGCAATCCGTTATATTCAGCCAACTGCCTTCACAAATCTGTCATGCCCGTTAATAGTCATCTCAAATCTATCATTGTCAGCCAATAGTCTTCAGCAAACCTATCATTGTCAGCCAATAGTTTTCAGCAAAATCTGTCACTGTCAGTCAATAGTTTTCTCAAATCTGACATTGTCTGCCAATACTTTTCTCAAATCTGTCATTGTCAGTCAATAGTTTTCACAAATGTATCATTGTCAGTCAATAGTTTTCAGCAAATCTGACATTGTCAGCAAATAGTTTTCTCAAATCTGTCATTGTCAGCCAATAGTTTTCAGCAAAATATGTCATTGTTAGCCAATAGTCTTCACAAATCTATCAGTCTGTCAACAGTCTTCACAAATTTGTCATTGTCAGCCAATAGTTTTCAGCAAATTGGTCAGTCAGTCAATAGTTTTCCACAAATCTGTCATTGTCCGCAAATAGTCTCCACAAATCTGTCACTGTCAGCAAATAGTCTCCGCAAATCAGTCATTGTCAGCAAATAGTCTCCACAAATCTGTCACTGTCAGCAAATAGTCTCCACAAATCTGTCACTGTCAGCAAATAGTCTCCGCAAATCAGTCATTGTCAGCAAATAGTCTCCGCAAATCAGTCATTGTCAGCAAATAGTCTCCACAAATCTGTCACTGTCAGCAAATAGTCTCCACAAATCTGTCACTGTCTGCAAATAGTCTCCGCAAATCAGTCATTGTCAGCAAATAGTCTCTGCAAATCAGTCATTGTCAGCAAATAGTCTCCGCAAATCAGTCATTGTCAGCAAATAGTCTCCACAAATCTGTCACTGTCAACCAACTGCCTCCGTAAGTCTGTCCCTCGCCCTCCAACAGCCTTTCACGAGTCAGACACGTTGGTGTAGGAGACACAAGCTTTGTTGCGCGTGCTTCTCCTCACGGCCGGCACCGGCGACACTTTGCGGCACGGGCTGGGCACCGGTCGCTGGATCTTGGGGGGAATGTTGGTCTCCGACACGGGGTCCGACGTCTGCCCGCTCATTCCTGCCCACGACAAACCAACACAGAAGGGAGAAATTAGGTAGTTTTAGAAAGTGTTTTACGGCAACACAATAAGGTCATATAAATGCCCAAGATTAGAGGTGTTACAAGAGAGTAACAAACACAAAAAAGAAGAAGAGGAGAGAGTTTTAGATTTAGTAAGAGTTTCACGGCACTTGCACCACACAACAGGTCATATAATTGCGGAAGATTAGAGGTGTAGCAAGAGAGTCACAAACACAAAAAAGAAAGAGGGGAGATAAAGACGATAGATGTTTGATAGGAAAGAAGAAGTAAACCACACCAGAGCACCTGACAACCACCCACAAAGGGAAAAATTAATGACTTCCGTGTCCGATACTTGCATTCATGTGACCAAAGATTGCCCACAGGTAGCCGAAGTGTACAGGCTAAATCTACGCTACCGCTGAACACTTCTGTGATGTATGCAATGAAAATGTCCCTTGCCATCAGATAGAAAGGTCATATCTCTCTCTCTCTCATCACAGCTCTCTCTCTCTCTCTCATCACAGCTCTCTCTGTCTCTCTGTCTCTCTCTCTGTCTGTCTGTCTGTCTGTCTGTCTGTCTGTCTCTCTCTCTGTCTCTCTCTCTCTCTCTCAAGAGAGACTTCATGTTTATCCTTCCCCGCTAATGTTTGTGGACTTGAACCCCGCCGGGGGCCAGTCATTGTGTCCTTAGGGAAAAGAATACCCCGCTATACACAGCAAAAGATCTTGTCCATTTGTTTGTGTTTGAGTACTTCATTGGCAGCTTGCATTATAAGTTATAACTATATATGCTTCCCGGGCAGCCAAGAATGTTTCCTGGAGTTCTAGGGTCTGCTGGGGTGACATTCTTGATTTTCAAGAATAAAGAGCTTGTCACTAAGCTGCAGAGATGCCAACCTAAGATGAAACCGTTTAGTGAGATCCAAGAAAATTTTTCATGAGATTTGAATTTTTTTAGTGAGACTGCGTAACAGGTGGTAATATGGTATTCAATAACCCCAAAAACCACACAAGACGAGTCTGGAGTAACGAAACCAAAATGCTTCAACACGCGAAAAAAGAGGAGAGCCAAATACATGATCATACATGATCAGCAATGGCATATTAGGCCCAAATGGCAGATCAAAACTTCAGTGGAAACTGAAGCGGTTTGCAATGATGAGTCTTACGACTATTGCGACCGGTGTCCCAATGATTTTTCTTCCAAATAAGATTCTATTCAACCCGACCACGATAATTCGTGAGATCACACAGAAAGGCGTTGCAGCGTGAGACTGGTTGTGTTTTCGTGAGTCTCACTCCAAAATCATGAGAGTTGGCATCTCGGAAGCCGGGATGTGCTTAATACAAATTCTATTTGATTACCATTATTATTCGCTCGTCTCCGAAGCGGAAAGTCTGGGTTCGAGCCTCGGTTCGGACACAGACTTTTTTCGCCCCCTCCTGTCCACCCAGCAGTAGTAATGGGTACCTGACTTCCGAGTTGCGGAGGTAAAAGCGGCCTGGAAAGGAACTGGCCACCCTGCCACAATATGCCGAAGGCCCAGGAAGTTGTCTCACTAACAAGGCAATCCCCTATGTCCGGATCGGATGCGGGAACAGCTTTACTTTTACCATAATTATTAGGTTATCTACATTCCCAATCATCTCACCATCTACAGCAGGCGTATTCCGTGGCACGTGCCGCCTCCTCTTGAACTCGGTGACGTGACCGTTGCTGTTGTTGCTGGTGCTGTTGCTGCAGCCGGGCAGGGGGCAGCTGGCGTTGTGGTGGCCTTGCATTCTGTTCCAGTGCTCGCGGTCTTGGAGAAACTTGCCCACCGTGTACCGCGGCATCTTTACACAGAGAGACAGTGAGAGGATACTTTAGTTTAGTTTTAGTAGAGGTTTTACGGCGCTCGCAACTGCATAAGGTCATATGAGAGCCAGAAGATTTGAGGTGTTACAAGAGAGTAACAAACACAAAAAAAAGGAGGGGAGATAGAGACGACTGATTTTTTTATAGGAAAGAAGGAGCAAACCACACCAGAGCACCCGCCAACCACCCGCATAGGATACTTGAAGTTAAAGGACTGACTACAAGTAAGTAAATAAGTAATTTTATTCAGCGGTTTTTTTATAGTTTTAATAAGAGTTTTACGGCACTTGCTACAGAATAAGGTCATACAAGTGCCGAAGAGTAGATTATGTGTTACAAGAGAGTAACATACACAAAAAAGAAGGCGGGGAAATAAGGAGAACAGATGTTTGATAGGAAAGAAGGAGTAAAAACCACACCAGAGCACCCGCCAACCACCCACTGACAGTGAGAGGATACAAAGACTGACTACAAGTAAGTAAGTAAGTAAGTTTATTCAAATTTAAGGCCATTGGCCCACATCACATCATATAAAACACTTATTTGCTGAATAAAGTTTCCATAATAAGAAAGAAAGAAAAACTGCAGGTTGTGCACATATCTCTTATCATGGGTCAAAAATTGCATATTTCTGTCACTGGACTGACTACAAAGAATGTATCAAGACAATATTGTACAACAAAAATGTCTAAGAACACAAAAATACTCCTACACTAATTTCAACAGCATTCATCTGCCAAGCATAAAAGAAAAGAACATAAACATCAACTGATGAAGTTTTAAGGGAAAGAACAAAGAGAAATTTACATCACAAAGAAATTAGGACAAAATCATTAAAGTTATCCCCGCCTCTTAAATAACCTAATAGTGTTGATTGGAGTGTTAAACCTCCATACCATCTCACCATTTTCACTAAAGTTATCCCTTATCCATAAAACACTTCTCTTATTATGTCAAGTCACATAGAAGTACAGGAAAAAGAAAACTAGCCATCTATGACAAAGACTCCAAATAAATAACCAATCTGTATTATATACAAGGAAAGCGATTTTGCCTTACCTTCCCTTTCAGCTTTCTCCTTCCGAGGCGAATTTCTCGACCACTCTGTAAACAAAATGTGGAGCAATGTTTAAAGCAAACCATTTGTACTGAAAGAAAGGTAATCAATTTGGAAATTATTTAATTTCACTTTTCTCTTGTATACTTCAAAGAAGTTGAGACAAATTTTTGAAAGTGTGGAGACCATTAAAATGAAACCTGATGCCTAAAGAACTTCATCATAACTTTCTACAGTATCATTAGCTCCCTGTCCATAACTCAAATCATCACACATACATCACTACATTTTTGTACAACACGAACCAAACTGTACACACTGGAAATTGTACATGGACACCTTATGCCTTTGTTTCCTTTCTGTTTTCGTGTCAAAAGTTACCAGTACTGACTTGAATTTCATTTAGAAAATAAATTTAACATTTTATAGATGCACATCGAAATTTGTATAAAAAATCAATTGAGTATGCATAGACAAGATAAATATATAATTTCCACTTCATGCAGCTAGAAGCTCACCCCAGAAATGAGACGTCCCACCCTTGCTTTAAAGCTCTGGCTCGAAAATTTTGGCAGGTGTGCAAACGTGCTGGTGAGTATTTTCTCAAAATCTGAGTCGACTCGGAGCGGCTCGTCCGTGACTCTCTCGTTCTCCCACCAGGGCACTATGTCGGGGATGCCACAGGCCGGACCAGGCTCGTGGAAGAAATCACTCTGCTCATCGTCCGCTGTTGGAAATGGAAATATTTTTTAAAACATAATAATGTTCATCAGAATGAAGGATTACAAGGTGGTTTAATATGACTACTGTTACATCATTGTAAAAACAAATTTCCCAAAGAGATGTATTAAGTGGAGTTCATTTTCTTTTTAATTTCTATTTCCATTTAGTGGATATTTTCCAAAGATGTAGTCACAATACGACTGTCATCAATTACTTGTGACTGTGGTGCCGGTGAAAAAAAACAATACATAACTAAGTTTAAGGTCTGATCTCTAGGTTCTCAAGCTAAAGGCACGCTGGCAGTTAGTTACTATCTTTTGTCAACAGGAAAGACACAGTCAATTATATAGAGAAGAAAACCATGTTTTTGGTAGGGGTGGGGGTTGGGAGCACAAAGCTGACAAAGTAAGATTTTTTTAAAATTATTTTAATTTTTGAAAATAAAAATGTATTCATTTTTCACTAGGCAATGTCTTAGAAACAACAAAGGAGAGCATTTACCTTCTCGTGCATCCTCATTGTTGACATTGATGTCACTGTCAAACTCGCTACTGCTGAGAGAGCTTTCCCTGTAAAAAGACGCACACACAGAAGACATTTAGGGAAGGAAGCCAATAGACAGGGACAAAAGCGTCATTGAAAAATATACAATTTGCAACTGAAATTAAACATACAATCCTCCTTGTAATTTTAATTCAGATGGCACGACACGACTCAATTCTGCTTCAACTTATTTGTCCCTCTTGCCCTTTGGACTCTGCACGATAAGCCTTATCATGCAGAGTCCAAACTGTCCAAGATGGCCACCAACTGAACAGGAGAAAACTGGATGTCTTAGAGAGATGGGCGTCTTGGACGATGTCAAATGCGTCATTATAAATATGTTGCTGTTCTTGTAGTTATCAACCCATCCAGCAACAGTTGGGCCCTCGCCCTTCTGTCCAATGCCATGTACTGATAAGTGCAGGTTTGCTGCAGTTGCTGTAATGCTGCATTGAGTGTCATTATAACTCAGGCCAAAGGGCTAGAACTCAGATGGCCGCTGGATCGGAAAAGTAAAGTGCCATTAAAAATATCATATTTTTTTAATGCAAGGTTAGGAAGTTGTCGTTTGTACAGATAATTGTCTTGGACAGATGGCTGTTAGAGCAGAGGTTCATCGTACTTCAGGTGTTTTATTCAGTAAACAACATAGAGTATAGAGCAAGGGTACTCACTGCGAAACACTGGCCACTTCCATTCTGTCGGAGCTGGCCCCAGCGGCCATGACAGCGTTCATGTCTCCGTGAGAGTAGGCAAAACTGTACTCCGTGCGGCTCTTGCTGCTGCGCTTCCTCTTCCCCGCGGTCACTGAGTGTGGCATGTTGGTCGTAGAGGAGGAGCTGCGGGGCCCGGAGAAGGACTGACGCTCCATGGTGGCAGACGGGGAGTCTTCTTTACGCTTCCCCACGCATTTGTCGCCAGAAACCGAGTCGGCATCAGAGGGGATCGGGTCAGTCAGCGGAGACGAGTCCACGGTCATGGTCTTGTACTTTCTCCTCCTCCTCTGGGGTCGCATCGGAGACAGGTTCTCCGTAAAAGAATCCGACTCGACCGGCGGGACTGGGTCAACCACGGGAACGGTCAGCTTGGGAATCCTGTGACAGGCTGCCAGATCATCCGAGTCGCTGTGGATGACATTGCCAGCGTAGTCTCTCATGGTCTGCTCTTCCACGCTACTCTCCGACGCCTCACTGATCGTGCCCCGTTTCCAGTAGTAGTTGTTGCTCGAAGAGCGGCGAATTCCTCTCCGTTTCTTGACAAACCTCCTGGGACAAGCATTGGGGCCGACACTGTCCGGAAGAGAAGCACCAGGTCTGCTGACACTGGCCGTCTCCTCCAGGGCCATGGTCAGATCCTGCACCAACTCATCCATCCTGATGTATTTGTGTTGCGCTGCAAACACTTTTAAGTTTTCAAAATCTTTCACAATGTTGTTCTCCATTTGGTCTCCATATAATTCTGAAAAGGAAATAGATATATTATACACACTACTTTTCAGAATATCAAAGACACCAGACAATGTCGAAAAATTCAATGATCCATGTCCACTGCAACCACAATGTCCCCCCCCCCCCCCCCCCCCCAAACCAACCTCGAGCATGGAGAGTACCAACCTTCACACACGGTAAGATCACAGGCAACATGCATCAAACAACTCATGCCTAAACAGACTTAACCACTCAGTCAGTGTAATGAAAGGACTTTAAACTTCTGGGAACAACAGACACTCACTTCGAGTCTCTTGGCCACCAAAAAATAATAACGAAATATGATAAAATGATACCCCTCTTGATTACAAAGTGATTGGAATGAGTCAAAAATAGAAACCAAAAGGATAATAATTGTTCTCCATTATGCAGCATTTAAGATGGTTGTTTAATGTTGCGCTGGGAGATTTCTCCATCACTCAATAAATTACTGTGACACTGTTCTGTACACGCCTATGATTGTGCAAAGTCCAGTTCCCATACTGTGTAAAAAAAATGCACTATATTCCAACATGAAATACCCATCACAAAAGATCAACTCCTTTACTTATTCAAATTACAAGATTGTGTTTTCATGGCCAACAAAATGGGATTTTATCCAGTTTTGACCCCAACGAAATACTTACTACCCTAATATCCTGCAATTTTGCAATTCTACGCCTTCCTCAAACCTTTACCCCATTTCCATTATTTTTTTTTATGTATGTTAAGTTTTTATCATTGATCTTGGTCTTGGGGCCAAAGCTAGAGATTGTGAATAAAATCATTTGCTTGCATGTCGAGCATTTGTGAAGCATCATGGTGAAATCAGGCGCTCGTCAAAATAACGAACTTGAAGAAACTGGCATTTTCCGCTAGTTTGGCAATTTTTATCAAATTTTTGTTTTTTCTCCCTCACACTTTTGATGTCCATTTTAAAACAAATTTCCATGTGAGTTTTACTGAAAAACATTGATTAAAGGCACAAAATATGTACATTTTCAGTTTACAAGGACTCTCGAGCTATGGAAGTTACTTTACCAAACATTGGTAGCCATTTTCTCGCTACTTTGACCCCTCTGAAACCAGGCGACCCCATCTCCTTCCATCCCAAATATCTCGACTTCTATTCAAGATAGACAGGTAACCTATTTTTTCCAACGAAAGTAAGGCAAATGAATAAGCTTTCATAATTCAAAAAAATCCCCAAATTCGACAAGCGCCTGAGTCCACAACACATTTTTTTTAGGTTGAAAAATTCACTACAAGGTAGCTAATTCTGTGACTCTCTAGTCTCTAGACTTTTCCGTGAGAAACCCACTAATTGACACAGGCACTGAAAGTTACAGGCTACCATCTTTTGTCTCAGCTAAGGCTAAGATTAAATATTACAAAATATTAATTTTCCAAATTCCAATTCCAAAAGTTTATTACGCCCCATTCAATTGCCACTCTATACTATTGGTGAGAATGCTGTGCTGGTTGGTGCTGTGTTCATGATTTTCACACTCACAGCATTTTGAATTTTAAAAAGCAAGTGGCAATTTTCTGGCCGAATAGCCATTGATCTACTGACCGGCGCGACGCCAGAGAATAGCTGCTCCACTTGCCTATTTCAAAATAAAATCTTATAGACAGCAGAACAGAGGAGGCCCCTACACAGATATGAGTTTCATGGAACCAGAAAACATGATCAAACACATCATGCACATTTTCACCAATTAGATCTACTTGATCCTATTGATACGCAATGATATTGCACACTCCATAAGAACAAGGCTTTCGACTTTAGAGTGAGGATCTTTTAACAACTCGGCTTGACTAGCCTAGACTGCAGCTGTCAGCTGTTACCCGACTTTGGTACTTTTCTGACTTTTCAGTTGTGTGTTTATCAAAACAAAATCTCACCAACACACAATTTGACCAATGGTAATGATAAGGGGAGTTGAAAAAGTAACATTCCGATCTATATGATAAAATGTCATTTTTATAGGGCTAATACTTACATTTAACATTTCAAAGAAGAAAAGAATTAGGATAAAATCAAGGTTTCTTCCTAGTCTGTGTGTACACTCGACGCCATCTTATCAGTTGAACTCTCGTTTATTGTTTCCATCTCGCACAGTCGAGTGAGATTCTGCGAGAGTGTGCATTGGAAACAAGAGAATTGTTTGAAAATGTCGGACAAGCAAAGAGCTATCCCAATCAACAACAATTTCGGGAGGAATCTGTTTACACACAGTACTCCAAGGTTTGTATCACATACCATGGAATGTTTTTGTAAAGTGATTTGCCTTTTATTTTGTCTTTGCTTGCAAATCTTTTACTGTTCATGAGGAAAACCCTTCTCCACAAAAATTAAAGCGGTTGCTATGGCGGCACTGAAATTTGATCTTGATGAACATGACCATTGATAGGCCTAGATCTAGACTTAGATCTACCTGTTTGACAAATGGGACATGGGATCATGATACCTGCTGTCTGAATAGTCTGCCAAACTCTATGTTAGGTGTGTGTGAAGAACACTGCTAACCTTTACACGGTCATCCAAAAGAAGGCGATGAATTAACACCATCAGCCATATTTCAGAATCGGATATTATTTGTTTGTAGAGTTCTGCTAATTTCAAGCAACAAATTAAACTGTGTACTCATTATAAGATGTATCAGAGAAACATAGTATGGGGATGTGGGTAACAGACTATAATTTGGGTTCCTGGACAGATCTGTAGCAGATTAATTAACATTTAACTTTGATCTCTGCCTCAGCAGCTGTTATACAGCTGCAGGTTACCTAGGGTTTAAGTTTAGGGGAATGGGATATGTACTGAGCAATTGAAAGGAAAGTAGCCTTTATCTTAAATGGAGATTGATTTGGTCAAATTTTTTTCGAGAGAAATATTAAAAACCTAATTGAAAGCTTTTTTTCTGGAAGTCTTTCTGTTTGCCCGAGTCAAGTTTTTTCATCTGTTGCATTAGTTTAGTGTTCAGTAGTTGTTTTTTTTCTTTCAAGATGATCAAGAGAAAAGATAAAAACTTACTTTTGAATCCAGCATATAATATAAACCATGCAAAAGCTCAGCTCTCGCTAAAATACATGCAGTCAAATTTCTCCCACACATTCAACTTATAACTCCATTGTTTAGCTGACCGTTAGGGCACCAGTGCATGTTTTGCAACCACTTTCTTTTTCTCTTCTCAGTTTTTAGCTTTCTGTTGTAAGATGTTCAAGTCAAGGGCAGTCCCACTCTTTGATGTTGTCTTCTCATCATTTCCTCCGTCAGCATCTTCATCTCCCCTCTTTTGCTGTTCCCTGTAGGATTTTCTTATGGTCTTGTAATGTACCCCTACCCCTTCAGTTTGTCTCTTTTCATGGAAGTTTTCATGCAGCTCCATAGTGTTGATGCTGGTTCGAGATGCTGAGGAGTTTGGGACAACAGACTCTCTCTCTCTCTACTTTAGATATATTTGTACACCCGTGTCTTTTTCACATTTTTGTTTCTCCTTAATGATCCTTGCAGTGTTCACTTTATCCTAGAGTAAACTTTTCATATCATCATCATATTAATACAAGATATGTGTGCCTGTCTTGACTGATCTTATGCAGCCTTGAAATTTAAAGACAAATTATGTATTTTTTCTACATATGCGGACATAATAGAGCTACTATATATCTTTGATTGAAATTATTAGAACTTGCCATACAGTTAGTGTTTGGATGATAAGAGCTGTTGTACTATTGTTGTTGTAGATGTTTTTTTATTGTTTTGTTTGTGATCCCAATTTTAAGAATATTGGGGGGAGGGAGGGGGATTAATTAATAGGATGTTCTCAATTCTCAAGGGGGGGGGGGGGGTGTCTGTTTTTTTGGATAGTTGACATCTAGCTGTTTGTTTGGAATTTTGTTTAAAAAAATAAAAAATTAACAGTGATCCTATAATATTATTATCCACCTAAGTTCATTCAATTTTGACTATTATTTAATTATGTATTCTAGCAAGAAGAGTAAGTCAATCAGGTAAGTCTCAGTTAGTAGTAGTAGCTAGAACCACCAACTTATTTAAAGTTCATATTTAAATTTATCATATGCTCCCATTTCCGTATATTTAACTTCACACAACTTATTGTAGATATCTAGTTGAACTCTTTTTTTATTTCCTTTATCTTTTTAAGTTACAGATATTTTGCTTTGAAACCATCTATTTGTTTTGAACATTTTATAACAGTTCTACAGCAAATGGCACTTTTTTTTTGTTTTTGAGTATTTTAAAAAAATACTTGATTATCGTGTACAGATAAACTGATAACAACAGTTCTTTGTGTCAGAGTTGGCAAAGTACGGTACTTCCTTCTTGCCATGCCTCTCAATGATTTGAAGCAAAATGTTATTTTGCATACATATATATATTAATGAATAATTCTCACAGGCCAACATTTTCCTTGTCATTCATCTGGCCCGCCACTCTCTCATTAGTCCACAATCCAACTTATAGAGACTCAAAGGCCCCATCCCACTGCATTTGCAGCTTTGTATCTGGAATACCTTCAGAGTTAAAAGTACAAAATGTTTAAACTTTGAAATCTGCATAAATGAAAATACATTGCACCTCTCACCTCGGTATGTTCGAACCATTTTTTTGTAATGTAAACATAATCTGTTCAGAGTGGATGATACTGTCTATTGCTGGCGGTTTGTACGAAAACGTTTTATTATAATCCCTTGCCAAAAGGAAAATCTAAGGGTCATTGCAAAACAATCAAGATGGAATCTTCACTGGAAATTTGTGTAGTGTCTGATGTGAGGCTACTTCACCAGTGCGCTGAAGAACACCTGTTCACTGACTGGTGAAACTGAACTTCATTTGTTGTGAGATCAACTGTAGAGTATTTTGTACCAAAGGAACTTTTCACTTTTGAGCTCTTAGTCTTAGTGGCATACACTGAGAGAGAGATAATGCTGATTCTCTGATGATTTCTCGGGAGTTGGAGAATACAGTTAACAGTGCATTAAGTCTCTTTTGCTTGTTTTATAAGATGAGATAAGATAAGATAAGAAGCATCTTTATTGTCCAGATCCTGGAACATTGATTTGGTGTTTCACCACGTACACACATACACACACACACATACATAGTAATAGTACACACACACACACAAACATGAACACACACGCAAGCTTACAGTCACATGCATAATATAAATGAACAGTAATATATATATATAAACAATAATAATGTTAATGTTGTTTAGCTCTCCACCCCTGTTGAACTTATTCTTAGTGCCAGGAAAGTTTGGTGTACAGATAAATTGATAGATCGATGGACAGATAAAGATCTACACATTACGTGGAGATAGACCACGAGAGAGAGAGATACAGAGAGAGGGGGATTGAAGGTTGAGAAGAGTTAGAGAGAGTGTGTGTGTGTGTGTGTGTGTGTGTGTGTGTGTGTGTGTGAAAGAGAAAGAGAGAGAGAGAGTCGGAGAGAGGGAGAGAGAGAGAGAGAGAAAGAAAGAGAGAGAGAGAAAACAATCTTGACTTCATTTTCTCTTTTTCGAATTACTAAAAAATGTAGTTAGTTATCTGTCTAGTAATGTAGAGCAATGTAATTTTTTTTAAAGTAAGCCTGCTATTTATTTCTCTGATACCTAGGGCTGGGTACATCGTCAACTGATATCGGTTTGTTAGAACTCCTCTAGCCAGACTTTTGTTTTCACCTTTATTCAGGTTCATTATTAGAAATAACAAGAAAATTCTCCATATTAACGAATTAATATGGATGAATCAAGGCCAGTATTTTAGCCTACTGTAGAGCGTATCTATTTATAACAAGCATTAAATTCTTTCAAAGAGCTGTGGACCTTCCGTATGCCTTGTGATTTGTCTTTTTTTCATACACTTTTTATAAAACGTGATACTTTTTTAAGATCCTTTCAGAGCTATTATCTATTGTTTAATTTGGCCATTAATATTTTAGATAAAAAAACACCCTGACATTTATCTGCCAATTTAAAACATGACAAAAATAAAGGTTCATCTGTAGCCTCATTTTTTTCTCGTTTTTTTCAGTTTTACAGAATTTTACAACTGGCACCCTTTATGCTTCAAATCCCTCAATTTTACTTTCTACTCTTTGGCTCAACTCTTCTCATATTTGCACAGGATCATATCATGACTTCTGCACACGCCTAGGATTTCAGCAGTCTCTGTGGGGATTTTAAAAACATATTTGGGGGTATTCTTTAACTGTCCCCGGGGCTTTATGCACCCTGCATAATTTAACAAAATTTGATCATTTTTTGCATCATTTCTGATTATTTTCCTTTATCATTCTTTGATAACAGAATCGCATAATTTCACATTTTTGGGCTCAGTTTGCAAAATCTCATTTTTTTTTGTGCATAAAACCACGGGAACAGTTTAACTAAGTCTTGCACTCTTTTAAAATGACTAAAGAAGTGTCGTTTAGCTCAAAATTACTTGTAGTTATAGGATGTAAAAAAATGTTCAGTCTTGTAGAAGGAATGTTACCACAACACTTTTTTTGGTTTATCTCCAGGAAATTATTGCTGCACAGAGTTTTTAAGCAATATAATGACCTTTCAAACTGCATTATATTCGGTTATCTATATATCAGTCAGGTTAAAACAGGTAGTAAATGTGGCTTTGCTAGATGCTAGCGAGAATATGGGTACATGTATTTATTTCATTTCAACTTGCACCCTTTCTAGTCTAAGCTATTAAACTCCAATGGACAAAACAATATTTGTCTTTTAGTTGAACTACTCTACATTTAATTTTTGCACCAGCTCACTATTAGTATTACACTCCAATCATATGAACAATCATTGTATTTTCTGCTGTTATCTTTTAAATGTTATTGATTAGAATGACTGCCGGTCTTAACTATACTTCAGAGGCTATTACTATTAGTGAGATAAAGAAATCGGTACTCATCCTTGCATCTGCCAATATTTACAGTCAGGGTTAGGAGTATATTTCTCTTTAAAAAAACAGTGGTATGACGGGTGTTAGTACCGGGTACTTTGAGTGTCTACTCTTCTGTGTCTTTACTGCCTGGACCCAAAATCATTCTTTTAATAATGCAAAATTTCAATCCAACAATTTTCTTGTTTTGAGCCACTTGTGTCTACGATAAATCTGTACAGTACATGATACTGTAAGTACAACTGCATAATCTGTACACATGTACTTGTACATGTTTTTATCAGACTAGTGTCCTTTTTTTTACTAAGAATTATAATTTACTTCATAATTTATCTATCATGAAACATTCCTTACCTAATAACCATTCACGTTCACTTCCCAGATATAGAACTTTACATCTCTCTAGTTTATTCATGCGTTGTTGTTTCTCATGGCTTTTTTATTCTTTCATATATTACAACGCATGATAGAATTCCCGAGTACTCCCGATCTCACCCAATCGTCCCGAAGCTGTACGTGCCAGAATGGAAGACAGACATGCAGAATCGGTCTATAATCACCGAGGTTTGTGGAACATGTTTTGGTTTTTTGCAATCTTTCAATTTTAACAAGTATTAAACATGAGTGAATAGAATCTAGATATATGTGCCTTCAACCGTGACTATGATTTCACATGCCTTGTTTCATTTTCAAATATTTCGTCCCATCCATCCGAGACTGACTAAAAACATTGCGGTGGGTGGTTGACGGGTGCTCTGGTGTGGTTTGCTCCTTCTTTCCTACCAAACATCTATTGTCCTGATCTCTCCTTCTTTTTTGTGTTTGTTACTCTCTTGTAACATATCTGATCTTCGGCACTTACATGACCTTATTGTGTTGTAAGTGCTGTAAAACTCTTACTAAAACTAAAACATTGTGCCCCCCTGTCCCACCTTGGGACACACAATCTCACCATCCCATCCATTCATCAAGAAGCACTAAGGGTGACACAGTCTGTCCTACCGCTCCAGCCATCTGATATTTTGTTACATAACTCATACAAATTCACTTTAGTTACGGTGGTACAGTATATTCGTTTGTCTGTGCGGGTTACTTCAATCAGTCAGACACATTGAGTCTTTAAAATATTAATCAGTAATCCACTGATTTTCACTCGCTGCGCCATTTCATTGCTCTCATCAAAACTCATTTTGTCACACCACCCAAACGAATTCCCGTTCACTTTCAGTACGGTATAATCAAGTTACTTCAGTAGTACCAGTACGAGTCAAATGCTTTGATTCTTTTAACATATTGATTAATAAATCATTGATTTCAGTGTCTGTAAAGTATCATTTCTTTGCTTCTTCTTCTTCTTCTCGATCGCATCATATTTGAAGTCCGGTATCTGTCATATATAGGGCCGTCATACTCAGTTCATCTGTCCGCTCATATAGCTTCTCCTGTAGTGTCAGTGGGGTTGGCCACATTTCCTGTCTCGGGGCCCTGTGTGTGTCTTATGGCACTTGAAGTAAAGTTGTTCCCGCATCCGATCCGGACATTGGGGATTGCCTTGTTAGTGAGACAACTTCCTGGGCCTTTGGCATATTGTGGTAGGGTGGCCAATTCCTTTCCATGACGCCTTTACTTCCCTAACTCGAAGTCAGGTACCTATTACTGCTGGGTGGGCAGGAGGGGGTGAAAAAACATCAGTGTCCGAACCGAGGCTCGAACCTGGACTTTCCGCTTCGGAGACGAGTGCACTAACCACTTCGCCACCGCACCCTCTTGAAGTCGGTACAATTTCTTTGCCATCACCAGAACGCCACGCTGGGAGGCATCCCGAACTACGAGCACGATGAGAACCTCTTCCTGGAGAAGCGGGAACAGATGCACTACAACGTGGAAGACTGGACGCGCGTTGAGGAGAAGATCAACATCCCTCCCCGTGCTGAGCTCCTGCGGCCAAACTTCCACCACGAGACCTCTCGCTACCAGAGTGAGCTGATGATGAGGAGGGACGACAATGCTGTGTGAAAAGACTTTAGTATTTATTTGGTAGCTAGCTGAAAATTTCACTGTACAAATATCACTAGTTTAGTTGTGAACGCTACAAAAGATCATTTTACCACCCAATAAATGGACTTCCATCATGGTCCATCCAATACAAATGCACAATAATTTATTTTTTAACTTCAACTCCTTTTCGGCGGGGGAAAAAAATCTCGATGACTCAGTACAAGAAGAAAGTGACTAAATATGGTAAAGTCATCCATATATGATATATCATTGAAGTAACAAACGTCCCCCAGAGAACTAAGTAAACTAATGTGTGCTCAGAGGAAGTAATGTGAGTGCAGTGCTTGCCCTAATTTCTTTCAATCAGTATTATTTCACATTCTGTAAATAAATTATGTGTATACTCTACATGACTTTGTTATGTTGAAAAAAAATGCGACCAACGGTAATCCAAACGTCCAGTGTAATGTTCTTGTGTCGAGGCTTCTCCGCCATCTTTCTTGTGTTTGTAAAAATATGTGTATATTATGTGTTATATGAGCAGCAACTCAACACAATGAGTCACATGTCCCATTTTCACTCTATAGAATGCTTATCAAATTGACGACACATTAAACTCCCAACAAGTGGGTGACTGGAGAAGAATCACAGAACTCGATGTACAGAAAAGTGGGAAGACAGAATAACATCAAGAGGCTAGCCCAGGATAGACAAAGATGGAAGGTTTTTGTCCTTGGCCTATACCCTAGTGCAGAGTGAGAAAGGCAATGATGAAGTGGGTGACAACAATACAAGTCTAGCTGCTTTAGATTTATATTTAAGTATAGGAGTTTTTATGCCACATCCCCCCCTCCCCCCTCCTAATCCACACAATTCAGATCATTTACGAGGCGGGCATTGAACCTGCCTTTCAGGGCATGTTTGGATGATCTGGTACATTCCTCTCACAGATGATTGGCTAAAATGGTTACATTTTGTAACATGCCAGTACATACATGACATGATACAGCCGGGGGCAAGGAAATCAAATACATCAGGATTGACAAATGTGTTTGACACAGGCAAACCAATATCGAAAAATTAAAGAGATATCAGTCAGGGAATGACCAATTATACCAACATATCCGTGATTTCGAGTTTTCCGTGTTCATGTTACCTGTGCTTGATTGTAACAGCTTTAACTTTAAGGGTGTGCATCATTGCCCAACAGAAACTGGACACCCTTCGACACATACGTGTCTTTGTAATTGATCCAGCTACGATTTCGTCTTTTCATTTCGATTATGTACAAAAATATAAACTGTCACAAAAATTTTCAAGACAAGAGAACAAAACAAAAAGACAGCGATCATTATTATTGATGCTTTATTTGAGCATAAGAGATACCGTTATCAGCATGAATCATCAGCAGAATTTATTTTTCATCGCATTGACTTTCCGAGATGTAACATTAACAAATTATTCACATTATCGATACAACGCTGGACCGAATCCAGCTTAACAGAAAACATCTGTTTTCAGCCACAGAACTTTCTTCTGTTCGACATGACTACCCCCAGGCACAGCTAGAGAACTGGCAGGACAGTGGTGAAGGATCCTGTATCTTTACAAGCGTAGTCAGATATTGCACGCACAAACTCCAGCACCAGCTCCTACTGTGGACATCCATTTGCCCAATGACCACGGGCGCCTGAAAAACACAACGCACAAATGTAAGATAAGATAGGATAAGATACATCTTTATTGTCCGGATCCTGGCACTTTGGTTTAGTGTTTCACCACGTAAACACATACACACACACACACAAACATGTCTAAGACAAATATCACACACAACTGAAATCTGAGCAGAGGTTTAACTTAATTTAAGCGAGGAAAATAGATTTTAGATCCTGTAAAGTTTACTATAAAGCAGTATTTCTTCAGGAGCAATTTCTCTCATCATATCTTCAAACAGAGATGTTGACAAAGATAGAAATTGTCCATAACAATGTGCTGGGACTAACAAAGTGTTAGAAAAAAAAATTTAAACTCAAAGAACCTATAAATAATCATAAACTGCATTTATATAGCACACATCCTTTTTCAAAGGCACATACTGAAGATATTTAAAAAATCAGTCCTAAGACATGATAAAAAAAAAAAATAATAAGGTCTATCTCTTTAATATGTTTACTTCTCCTTGCCGCTCAAACTAAAGAACATTCACTCCATCTTCCTGATCTCCCACACCTTCTAAAAACACACATATCTTCTATTCTATGCTGCTTGTCTCATGAACAATAAGTTTTCTTTAACCTGTGGCACATCATAAAGGCATGACAAAGGAAACATAACCTTAAAAGAGTCGTAAACATTTACAGGTACAGAACAAACTAAAACAACCTGATCCATTTCCAGAGACGTTCAGGTTCTTAGAATTGCTTCTCAGATTATACACAATTTCCGCATTCCATTATAATTTGCAGCCTTCAAAGGGCAGGCCCGGGAAAAGATGGGTACAGGAGATCAGGGAAACATTTCTCAAGAACAACACAACCATGTAACAGACAATACAAGAAACAAGAGAGGAACCTTTTTCTCAAGAACAACACAGCCATGTAACAGACAATACAACAAACAAGGGAGGAACCTTTTCTCCCCCCCCCCCCCCCCCCCACACTGTGTGGCAACAAAGGTCGGGGAAAAGTAAAGTAACAGCAAATTACTACAGCTCAAATTTGTCGGGACCTGCCTCGGTAGTTCAAGGGATCCGTAGTTCAGGGGATATCTGATCTTACAAAGATAAAGAAAAAAGGACCGCAGGCACAGTTCGGCGGGTGCCTGACTTCGAGTCTTCTGTGTTCGACCTATCCGTGTTGTACTGTATTTACTACGGACAAAAACAGAGACAGGTAGGGAAAGAACAGAAGAACGTTCAACCAGATATACGCTGGCACAATCAGTAGAAAGACCCTCAGCGGCATTTTGGAGAGAGCAACGGAGCATCAATGGACATGATGTCTGGAATGCAGGGATGTTGCTTGCTGAAACAATGAGCAATGAAGAGGCAGGTAGGCTTTTTTAGTTTTAGTAAGTGTTTTACTGCACTTGCAACACAATAAGGTCACAAAAGTGCCGAAGATTAGAGGTGTTACAAGAGAGTAACAAGCACAAAAAAGAAGGAGGGGAGATAAAGACAATAGACATTTGACAGGAAAGAAGAAGCAAACCACACCAGAGCATCCGCCAACCTCCCACACAGGTAGGCTTGGCACAGCGTTTCTTCAGTCTTACCACAGTTATGACATCTGCCATAGCCACCATAGTAGGCATCGGGAGCTCCTTCCACCGAGTCACTGTCTCCGTACTCATCACTGGACGAATACCCTCTGCGGTACCTTCCACGGGCGCGCATCCTGAGCCGGTAGTACTCGCTGTCGTTGCTATTGTTGGAGTCGTCGCTGTCGTGGCTATTGTTAGAGTCATCGCTGTCCACATCAATCGGTTCCGAGGTCTGAAAACCCACAGCCGTTCTTCCAAGGCCAGCCAAGTCTTCATCGCTCACTTCTATGATGTCTGGCCCGCCGCTCGTGCTTGCTGCGGCGGTGGATGAGGAGGCGGTTGACGCTGTGGTGGTAGAAGCAACGCCACTCACTGAAATAAAGCGTGGTACTGTATAAATGAACACATCCTAAAGGTGAAAAGGTTTAGTTTTAATAAGAGTTTTACGGCACTTGCAACACAATAAGGTCATATAAGTGCCAAAGATTAGAGGTGTTTTAGTTTTAGTAAAAGTTTTACGGCACTTGCAACACAATAAGGTCATATAAGTGCCGAAGATTAGAGGTGTTACAAGAGAGTAACAAACACAAAAAAGAAGGAGGGGAGAGAGAGACGATAGATTTTTTTTATAAGAAAGAAGGAGCAAACCACACCAGAGCACCCGCCAACCACCCTCGATTAGAGGTGTTACAAGAGGAAGAAGCATACCATACCAGAACCTCTCTAACATACATCTTTATCTTTAATGTCCAGATCCTGGCACATTGGTTTGGTGTTTCAACACGTACACACACACACACACACACAAAACATATGCATGTGCACGCACATGTGCACTCCCATATACACACACTTTTCCCTCACGTATCCTCTCTTCCACACACATCTGTGCACATAACCATAAAAAGTATATAGTAGTATGCTTGCACTCACAAACAGGCTCACAGTCACATGCACTTAATACAATATAAAAGAACAGTAATTAAAAACATTAATAGCGTTACGGTAGACATGTACTCAGTATTCCGATTGTAACAATTAAAGGAAGGGGGAAAAAACGAGAGGAAGAAATAGCAAAACACTTAACATCAAAATTTATATTGACCAAAAAAGTAATGTACTGAAACACATCAACAAACCCAACTCTTTACCTTCCACAGTGAAACAGTCCCTAAGATTACTAAGAAGCCAATGAAATAGAATTGTATAGCAGTACTTTGACAGTTTATCTTGACATTCTGTTCACAAAAATTTGTTGGGACAGTGGGTTCTTTTTCGAGAAGAGCATATCGTGGGCAGTATTGCATACAGACGTATCTCAAACTTTCAAATGCCACCAAAAATGACTTACGTCTGTATGCAATACTGCCCGCGATATATAGGCCTTGGAATGAGAAAAGATTTTCTAAATTCACAAAAATACAATCAAATATAACCATGAATCTGACACAAAGCCATGAAACGTTCTCCTCAGATCTTCATGCTCAAATCCTAGCTAAACGAGAATCCAAAACAGAAAGACAAGTTCAGCTACTGCTCAAGAATTTTCTTTATGCACATCATAAAAATTGCACCAAACGAGGTCGACATTCTAGTGATCTGCATACCAATAGAATACAGGCTAAAAAAACAACAACCGTTATTTCTTCAATGAATTACACGCTCGTATAAAACAACACTTTAGTTACTGCAGACAGCAACAAGGAGGAAAGAAAGGAAAGAAATGAGCAATTCCCCCCTTCCCCCCCCCACCCAAAACAACCCTTTATATATCACCCAAGGACAGAAAACAGCTTTCTGTACAAAAGAAGCATCAGGCTGGACTTGTTGAACGCTACGTTTTACTTGAAACTTCTTTGAAATAATACTGTGCATATGTCAGGAAACCAAGACAGCTTATCAAAGTCGGTAACTTCATATCAGAAGATTTTCGCTAGAACTGAGGAAGCTGATCATCAAAGTTGCCTACTCTGGGGCAATTTCAACTGTACTGGCAACACACATTGAAAGGGAGGCAATCCTAACAAGATGCCTCGTTGAGTGAAGACCAAAAAAAAAAAAAAAACCACAGGCAGCCAACATGAACCAACTCACGGGAAGCAGTGGCAGTTGTCACGGAAGCCAACGCCGTGGCAGACGTCACAACAGCGGCAGTGGCCGTCGTGGCGGTGGCTGTGGCCATCGTCGCTCCCAACCTCTGGGCCAGTATCGACTGCAACCGTTCAGCACCTGTCGCCATGGTCGCTGCTCCTGTCCTCTGCGCCTGTAATGCCTGTAACCGTTCCGCGCCTGTCGCGGTGGCTGTTGCCGTGGTTGCTGCTCCTGGCCTCTGGGCAAGTAGCGCCTGTAACCGTTCCGTGCCCGTCGCAGTTACTGTTGCTGTGGTGGTCACTACTGCTCCTGGCCTCTGCCCCTGTAGCGCCTGTAACCGCTCCACCACCGCTGCGGCCGCGCCTGTGATCCTCCTGCCGCGCTGAGAGCGCGTGGTCGCTCGTCCCCTGGCCCTTGAACCCCGCCCTCTGCCCCTGGGCGGTGCAGGAACGAATGCTGCGACAGCGACCGCGGGGTTAGCCAGTGGGGCTGACGGACCAGCAGCAAGGCCGTCAAACTTGTCTTGCTCAACTGGGCGGAAAAAATGTGGGTTTTTTAGTACAAGAAAAATTTTTATGGCAGCTGCAACACAAAGAGGTTATACAATTGCCGAAGATTTGAGGTGTTATGAAAGAGAAACATAATTAAAAAATTAGTTTAGTTTTAGTCAGAGTTTGGCGGCACTTGCAACACAACAAGGTCATACAAGGGCCTAAGATTAGAGGTGTTACAAGAGAGTAACAAACACGAAACAGAAGGAGGGGAGATAAAAGACGATAGATGTTTGATAGGGAAAGAAGAAGCAAACCACACCAGAGCACCCGCCAACCACCTACAAAGAATTTTATGGCAGCTGCAACACAAAGAGGTCATACAATTGCCGAAGATATGAGGTGTTACCAGAGAGAAACATATAATAAGAAGATTAGGAACAGAAAAGAGGACGACAGATGTTTGGTAGGAAAGAAAAGACTGAGCAAACCACATCAGAACACCCACCAACCATCTGCAAAAATTTAACAAAACAAAAAAGTCAAACAATAGAAATAGAAACAGACAAATATAAACTTTTTTAAAAAGAAAGCAAATACACATACAGACAGTTGAAAACGTTACCCTCATAAATAAAACATCAATTATATTAAGTGATTTCTAGTTGCTGTGGCATATTTGGAAATTTTTTTTTAAAGGGTCGAGGCTGTAACAATTGAGCAAAACTGTAGAGGAACTATGTCTCCATACGGCTTGAGAGCTTGTTGAAGTGAAGAGTGACTTTTTCCTGTTTCTAAGATTTAAGAAACTTGCAGGATGTCATTATTCTGTGAGAAAAAGCCCTCAGTTCAGGAACACAATCAGTGCATAGAGGGCATATCCTGAAAAGTGACTACCCAACAGCTTTTCGTAGATCGATATATCGATTACAAAATTGTGTTACAGCAAAGGAAGACTACTTTCAACAGAAGATCAAAAATGAAATAAATCTCCTGCTTCGTTTTAAAGTTGCAATGAACCGTCTCATGTTCTTATAAACACCCCCCTCCCCTTTCACACCCCCACCCCCTCCCCTTTCACACCTTTCCTCTGTGCCACCAACTCTTTTCTCCTCTGCTTCAGCTCGTCGTTTAGTTGTTCCACCATCTTGTCGATGTAACTGTCCAGGGTGATAGACTGCATCTGGGAGGTGACTGCTTGCCGGCAGTTGGGACATTCCTTCTTCACTTTCAACCACTGGTTGATGCACAGCTTGCAGAAGGAGTGCGAGCAGTTCAGCGATGTTGCCTGGAGGAGGAATATCAACCACCAAAGACAGAATTTAAAAAACGGGATAAGTTTAACAATAACAGGATAATTTTTGTCACAATAACATTAACAGATAATTTTTGTCAGAATAACAATAACAGGATAATTTTTGTCAGAATAACAATAACAGGATAATTTTTGTCAGAATAACAATAACAGGAAAAGTTTTGTAAGAATAACAGTAATGGGTTAGGTTTAGGCAGAATAGCAACAGCAGGATACATTTTGTCAGAATAACAATAACGAGATAAGTTTTGTCAGAATAACAATAACGAGATAAGTTTTGTCAGCATAACAATAACGAGATAAGTTTTGTCAGAATAACAATAACGAGATAAGTTTTGAGGGCATCAAGATTCTTTGTTAATGGGATAAGTTTTGATGAGCAACTATATTCCTCTCTTCAAAATGTAGCACAATTATTACCAATTAAAAACTACCAGAACTAGAGTTCCTGAACATGCATACCTTATTAAAGCTTGGAACAAATTTCATAGAAGTTTAACAAGAAGTTCCTTCACTTCTCGAAGATCAGAGATCTAATTAAAAACTGGTCTTATCGATTATTACCTTCTTTTAAATTAATTAAATACTTAAGAGTTCTGGCCAAAAGAAAAAAGGGTCAGGAATCTTATCTTGCATCGAGACACACTCACTTTTATATACAGCTCGTTACAGATTGAGCACTGCAATTCCATTTCCATGAGATCAACAAAATTGCAGAGGACCTCCTCTCTCGCTTTCAGGGCTTGTAGTTTTGCGGTCTCGCTCTCTTCCTTGGTTTCATTTAACTGACTTTCCAAAAGCTTTTGCTCCATCTCCTTCTTCTCCAGCACCTGAATTTCAACATAAAAAACAAGATGGGTTCCTTTACGGCATGACAAATCTTTTTCATGTGTAAGCAACATTTCAACTTCACCGTTCCGATCCAGCGACCATCTGAATTTTAGCCCTGTCGATATATGGCAAAGAATTTACAGGTTTTCATCAGCTGTGTTTTGTCGCTGTATAAAGTATTTTCGATATCTAGGGAGGTAGGTAAAAACATTTTATTCACCCAGAATATCACAATTACACAAAATCTGAATGAAAGATCAGGTAAGACAGACCATTCATTCCCCCCACATGATCTCCTGTTGAAGACCCTCAGATGCTCCCCATTACATCTTGAATTTTAAACTCTATTCATATATACCGAGCGAATAAAAACACATTCACAAAAATATATGCATAATTTTGACCACACACAAAGAGCACATGTATATATGTTACTACTTACACCAGCACACACAAATACACACAAGAACAGAAGCAACACACACTTCAGTCCATGTTCCATTAATTTCAAGCAAAAAAAAAAATTATACCAAAACCTACATTAAAAGACATTTCATCCTAAGGCATGGCACAGTTTGGCAACATGGTAATGAAAGGCGACTACAAACTATACAACACTTACCTTTTCTAATTTTTGCTTTTGTTCCATCAGTTGTTCTTCCAGCTCTTTGTTTTTTTCTTCAATAGCCTTCTCCACTTCCTTCTGAAGACTTTCTTCCACCTACAATGAATATCAAAGAATACAGGACCTGAAAACTAACTGAGACTTAATAACAAGAATTTTTTTTTAAACGCCATTTGAACCTGCCTTAGCAGCCTTTTTACTGATAGAACAATACACAAAAGCATTTATGCTGAGACTTAGCCACAAATGCAAAACATTTGGCAGCACTGTCTCCCTCTTCTTTACACTACCGACCATACTAGTGGCTCCATCCCAGCAGTTACTTATTAAGAGTCGAGCAGGGCATTAATTCAAATAAAAGTAAAAAAAACACACAAAAAACATGAAGGGCATGAACCATTCATGAAATACAACACTCACCTGTTTTTTCTCGTTCAACAAGACTTCTTTCTGGACGGCCAGTTGTCCTAATAAAGCAGCTTCCCGCTCTCGAAGATTCGACTCCAGCTCAGCTTGCATCTTCAACCGAAGTTCTTCTTTTTCCTTCTCCAGCTGCTTCTGCAAGCACGTAACATACAAAATATTGAATGAGCGTGCACGGATTATCATAGGCAGGAAAAAGTACATTTTTTCCAGATTGTTATTAATCTAATTCTGAACATATCTTAAAGCTGTTTAGTTTTAGTTTTAGTAAGTGTTTTACGGCATTTGCAACACAATAAGGTCATATAAGTACTGAAGATTAGAGGTGTTACAAGAGAGTAACAAACACAAAAAAGAAAGAGGAGAGATCAGGACGTTAAATGTTTGATAGGAAAGAAGAAGCATACCACACCAGAGCACCCGCCAACCACACACTTCTAGCTAGCTCAGTGTCAGCACTTGCTTAATCAAAACCACAGCACAGAATTAACTCCTACTCAACCACAACCACAAAAAGATCCATTGCATTGTTTCCTTCTCAACCACATCAGCAGCAGAGATTTATTACAACGCATCAGGTTTTTTGGCGCACTTCTTGAATCAGCGATTTTTAAAGTAAAGAAATTCACAAATTCAAGTTGCTCACGGAGTGTTACAAGGGGAGCTACTGCATTGGAACACACGAAAATGGGCAACTCAAATCACGAATTCAAAACAATAGCGAGAAATTCAACGGGCAAAAAGCGAGAATAATTAGAGCGCAACAAAAACCCAACTGCTGGGACTACAGTATTCTCTAACACAACAAACCAGACCTGCTTATCTTCCATTTCCATCAAAATGGCCGCCTCTTTCATCCTCAATTCTTCCACTTCTTTCGCCTGATTCTCTTTCTCTTTCCGCTCCTGCTCCAGCTGTTGTTGGACCTTGAAGTCGAGAAAGAAAAAAAGAAGCAAAAAGTACTGAAACAGCTTTACTTTACCACAAGCCTCAGAACAAATGCAAACCATTCAATTTGGTTGAAACTTAACCCTTACCATGGCAGTCGCGACATTTGCGCTGTTCTTCATTTTTTAGCTTTAGAAGAGTTTTACTGCACTTGCAACACAATGAGGTCATATATACAAGTGCTGAACGCTGTTCTTCCATTCCCCTAACACGCACAAATAGCGTACGTCGTTTAAAATTGTTGGGGTGTTCCAAAGAGGGAGAAAAACTGCTTATACTCTCTGTACCCGACATTATGATGACGAATTTATTAAAAACAGCACCAAGAAACAGGGTTGGTGATTTTTTTGATTTTTTTGATAAAAATCAAAAAAATCGATTTTTAAAATTTAAATCAGACTTTTTTTTATTTAAATCGGATTTTTTAAATTTTTTTAAAAATGTCGACACAGTTTGGGATTTTTGGTGGCTAAAAGTATGTTCTTTTAGTGCAAAATGCATTGTCTTTATTTTAACTAATGATTAATTTAAGCAACTGCAATTTTAGAAAGCCTTAATCTGCTATATCAGTGAATTATGGCTACAGACAAAAAAATGAAGAAAATGTCAGTCTAAAAGGAAGGGGGGGGGGTAATTATGCATAGATAAACTTGCATTTTATTTTTATTACAGTGTGTGTGTGAGCACGCACTTGTGTTTGTCTAAAAAGAAAAAGAAAATGCTAATTTCAATTATGAAAAAAAAGTAAATTGAATACTGTATTATTTTACTACTTACAGTGACAGGGGGGGAAAGCAGACTTTTAAGCAATTTTAGTCTACTAAACCTTATATCTGTTTTATAAAACCAAGGAAAGGAATTCTGAATGTTTAAAGATGTAAAAACAGAAAACATTTTTTTAAAGTGATTTAAATCACTGAGTTTTATTTTTAAAATCAAGTTGATTTAAATATAAAAAAATCAACTGATTTAAATCGACCCGATTTAAATCGACCCGATTTAAATCAACCCAACCCTGGTTTTCAATTATGAAAAAAAAGTAAATTGAGAACTGTATTATTTTACAGTGACAGGGGGAAAGCAGACTTTAAAGCATGATTATATTAGTCTACTAAACCTTATATCCGTTTAAAATAAAACCAAGGAAAGGAATTCTGAAAGTTTAAATATGTAAAAACTGAATACATTTTTTTGAAAAGTGATTTAAATCACTGATTTTTATTTTTAAAATCAAATTGATTTTTAAAAAATTTTTAATCAACTGATTTAAATCAACCCAGCTCTGATTTCAATTATAGAAAAAAAAGTAAATTGAATACTGTATTATTTTACAGTGAAAGGAGGGAAATCAGACTTTTAAGCATGATTATATTAGTCTACTGAACCTTATATCTGTTTTATGAAATCAAGGAAAGGAATTCTGAATGTTGAAATGTGTAAAAACCGAATAAAAATAACTTTTTAAAAAAGTGATTTAAATCACTGATTTTTATTTAAAAAATCAAGTTGATTTAAATTTAAAAAATCAACTGATTTAAATCAACCCAACCCTGCCAAGAAACAAGGATAATGATCCCCATTTTGAATGCTTTGTTTTACTGCCACTGAGGGCCCACTGAATGCTCTGTTGCACTGCCATGGTGGGCCCACTGAATGCTCTATTGCACTGCCATGGTGGGCCCACTGAATGCTCTATTGCACTGCCATGGTGGGCCCACTGAATGCTCTATTGCACTGCCATGGAGGGCCCACTGAATGCTCTATTGCACTGCCATGGAGGGCCCACTGAATGCTCTATTGCACTGCCACTGAGGGCCCACTGAATGCTCTGTTTACTGCCACGGAGGGCCCACTGAATGCTCTGTTGCACTGCCACTGAGGGCCCACTGTTGCACTGCCACTGAGGGCCCACTGAATGCTCTGTTGCACTGCCACTGCAAGGGTTAGTAGAGGTTTTATGGCGCTCGCAACTGCATAAGGTCATATGAGCGCAAAGGGGTGGATGTCAATAGAGAAGTCCTTACAAGGAATCGGCTCTCTAGCTTCAACAGCACAAAGTCTGCTTCGACTATCAAGGCACCCCGGGAATAGCGGGTCACAAGAGTGTGACAAACGTACAAAAGAAGTAGAGATAAAATGACGATAGTAAGGATTAGGAAAGAAAAAGCAGCACTTCCCTGCTGCAGTTCAGCCACTATAATGAGCATGACATTGATAAATCAGCCCATTTACAATTACAATTCTACTGTGCATAAGAACATGGTTAATGTCCCCCCTCTGGGAATGGCCTAAAGACACTTCAGTAGGTAGCACTGCGCTGGGGGGGGGACTGAAAGGGTTAAAACACAAAAAGTCTTGAGAACTCAGGGAATAGCGCAAGTACAAGCATGCCCCATTAGGTATTCGAACCAGGTCATCTGTAACACAGTATAGCATAATACCGACTGAGCTATCAGCATGCTGATTTTCCACTCAAATAAAACCAGCGGAACTGTAGATTTCACTCACTGAAAACCACAAAAAACATTTCAGCAAGACGTCAACTCGTTGCTGTCAGTTCCAAACTACTGTCCCCCCAACAGTTTGTTATACCTCTTCTTGTTTCTTCTCCTTCTCCATCAGCAGCCTTTCCATTTCTGCAAGTTTGGCCTGGTATTCGGCCTCTTTGGCTGCCTGCTCCTGCTGAGAAACTTCCATTTGCTGGCGTAGCTCTTTGTTTGCCGAGTCCTGCTTTGCCTCATCTGGGGGCTTCAACACACACACACACAAACAAAAAAAAAGGGAATTAGTGACACAAAAATTCTTGCAGAAGCTGAAAAACAAAGACTAAACACTCAGGAAAATAAAAACTAGAGAACACGTCCCCTGGGAGTCATACATACAACATATATTTTCCTTCAATTCTTACACAAACAGGGCAAGACAAATCTGTGAACTTATAACACAAGATGTAGCTTTTTTAAAGCAATTTATATAAATGAGCACCAGAACGGTTGTCGCATAAAAAAAAAAAAGGCTAGATCTTTCAATCTCAGACTTCAGAAAAGTAAAATTTTGCATCTGCCTTTCTCGTTGACATTGTCGACAGAAAAGTTCGAGTAAAGCAGCCCAACCCTTGGGTACAGTACACACAGCACATATAAAGGAAAGACAGGGATCTTCCTGGGATGAATGTTAAACATTTTCGAGAAAGACACAAAAGTTTGCATGTCCCAGCTTCAGCAATGGATCTAACAAACACACCATCAAAATTCACAGATGTACTACAAGATGTCTTGTGCGTATGCGTGAGTGCACCTAACCTATGTAACGTCTACTGCCATAGTTAACGACCAAGACAAATTTCTCCCCGCGAGATGAATAAAAACTGTCATTGTCAAAACATCACATAAAGCCACTCAGCACAAGGACTCCGAACACATCACCAGCGCGGAAGGGGAACAACGTTGCGCCTACTCAGTCAACGGCTGCAGGGTCTCCGCTTTTATCCTCTATTTGAAACATCTATTCTAATTATGCAGTTTTATCTTCATCCAATTAAAAATCAAAGATCATAAGAATCGAGTGATACAGAATCTAATATCGCAGTAAAATGAATTTACAGCTACAACAGACTTCAACCAAAAGTCTATACTTCTATTGTCGGAAACAACACAATTACCCGATCCTACATATGCATAATACTATGTTTTACGTACACACATGCCCATTACTTTTTAAGGTGTGATATTTTTATTAATGTAATGCACATTGAGCATTTTTTAGAAAATGGAAATGCGCAGCATAAACGCTATTTATTATTATTATCATTTATTATCCTCCATTGTTAGCCCTCATCAGTATCACAACTAACCACCATACAGTAAAGTAAATATGTCAGTAGAACTTCTCACCTTTAGCAAAGCTGATTTCCTTTTCTTCTCCCTTTCTTCATCTCTCTCAAAGGACTCGCTGGCACTCAAGGTGGCTCTCTGAGAATCAACATCTGGGTCACATTTCTGTTTCTTGGCTTTTTTCTCCGTCCTCACCTGTGAAACATTTTTTTTAAAAATCAGATCAGTTTATAAAGTTAGTACCTCATCATCTTTACTGAGCTTAAAAATACATACATTTCAGCCAATTGAATAGATTATGAAAAATTTATTGAACATAATTTCACATTCTATTTTTTAAAAATAATAATAATAATAATCACACAGAAAAAAAAGAAAAAGAAACTATTTACAAAACAAAACAGGAAAATAAACCCCATTTAAAAATGTTTGCTGTCCATTATATAGTTCGCCTTCCCACCTGTCACATTTTACTTTTTATTTTGTTACAAAAATCACTAAAGTATACAAACAGATTCATACACCAATAAACTGAAACCCAAAAAATCCTTTGAAGAACCCAACAGATTTTTTCCACAAATTATTGTCCATAAAAGTCAGCCCTTATCTATGTAAATAATACCTTAAGGGATGAATAAAATTTATAGATGAACTCTGCAGGAGCATCAGGTGACACAGGTATCCCGAACTGAACCATGTCTCCATCATGCAGCAGGTGCGGTTGCATAGGGGCCAGCCGACGGCCGTTTATGTAAATGCCATTCAAACTCTGGTGACCAAAACATGGAAGCATGATTCTTGAAGTCAAGCAAAACTTGCATTTAATAAATCACCGTGAAAGGAAAACTTCACGTCTTCCACAGAGAGCCCAATCTTTGAACATTTCACAGACAACCACAATTCATTTGACTCTCTAGACTGTGGACCGATCAAGTCTACACAATAACATTTTTAACAACATTTTAAACGACCAAAAGTCTTATACACAGGATACAGTTAAAATTGTCCAACACGGGCAACTATTGTTGTTTAGGGGGAAAGTGGTTGTCTCAGACAGGCCCGTATCTTGGACAGTGTCATTATAAAATAGAAACAATGCAAGGGCAGAAGTGGGAAGTGATCATTTGTACAGGTGATTGTCTTGGAAAGGTGACTGTTAGAGCAGGTTCTTCTTACTGTACAAGTTAGAAAATTCTCAAACCCTCTACTCTTTTTTTCCCCCCGTCTTGTTTTCCGCTGCACTTCAAGACAAACAATATCCAAACAGATCATAAAATAAATCGCTTCAGATTAAAGAATTGTATGAAAGCTATTATATATATATATAAAGTTAAAGCAATAAAATAAAATACATTTGTTTATTCAAGCATCAGCAGTTTCTACATGTCTTCCTAAATTTTTATGAAGATTCAAAGCCAATCACAATGCACCTGACCAAATAAACGATCTTTTCAGAATTTAAAAAAAAAATGTATCTATAGAAACTAAAAAGTTCCAAAGTTCGGTACTACCTTGTTGTCTGTGATGGTCCACGATGAATCTTCTTGTTGTTTGACCATGGCGTGACAGCGGGAAATCATATTTGACAAGATGGCATAAGTGACCTCTCCTGACCTGCCTATTGTGACCTGACAAGGAAGCAAGACGAAGGCACTAAAATAATTACAGGTGTGAGCTGGCACAATCAGCATATAGTAATACATTTTAAAATCACATTCAAAGTCCTTGAAAGTGACTTCACTTGGAAGAGAGGCACAAGGCAATCGTACAGTAAGTTCAATTCAACTAGAACATATAATATATATATTATATAACTGATCAAATTGTCCTGTACAATGAAAAAAAAAAGACAAGAGACCCCAGAATAACAAAGCTACCTCACACTCACCACACTGGCATATATATATATACATGTATATCTATATATACATAGTTCTCGGGAGGTCTGGGTTTCCTACAAAATTAACAGTTCGGTAATTGCATATAAATTTATATAATAATTTGCTTTTTTTTTTAATCTAGGGGTTTCCAGGGGGCATGCTAATCTGTACATGTTATAATATAATTTCCATAATCTGATATTTCACAAGAGATTTTTTTTTTAACAATCTGTTAGCAACAGTTTTTAATGGCCATAGTAGTTAAGTGTGTTCTGCAGCCAAAGGGCCAAAGGTACAGCAGTCCAGCCCCCAAAAAGCAGTGCATCTTCTTTGTGCAGGGCTGAAAGTAAAAATTTACCCTGAGAAGTCCTAAGACTTAGACTTAGACTGGATCAATCAAGAATAGTATCAATGTTTGACCTTTGAACAGACTCTTAATTAGAATTAGACATGAGTCAAACGGTTTTGATGCAGATAGAGATAATATAAAGAATGAACTATGACCAGAGGGCTGGGGCACTGCTGTTTCTCAGACAAAGCACGACAGTTTTTAAACTAGATCTAGTTAAAATTTGGGAGGCCTCTACTATGGCTATGGGTAGACCCTGGTTTAATCCTACTCATACCAGGACAAGACTGGTGTCCATGATGCAGACAATTTGTTGTCGCACATGGAAGACTCCAGGTTGATTCCTGAGTGGAAAGAATCTTTATCGAGTATGCCTTTTCCGGTCTTCCTGCTGAGATGCTCAGTGTTGTATCCCTCTTCTTGGGTCAACTAAGTAGACTATACTCAGTTCAGCCCACGTCGGCCCTCATCAAATCATCATAATCCGTGCCTAAGCAGTAGTCTACCCCCTACTACTACTAGGATATTCAAAACTTTGAGCTTCAGAACTGAAAATGTATTATAAACCGCCATAGCTTCCGTGTAGATTAGGGGACTCTTCGGGAGAAGTGGTCCCGGCCTAACTCCATAGACATTTATACATTATGTACACAATCAGAAACAAAACCGGAAGTTGCCTCTAAAAAGGGAGGGCTTTCGGAATGTTTCAGCGCCCTCTTGGCTCAGGGTAGACCTAGGTTCTTCTAGATCTATGGTCTAGGTCTAGATCTAGACAGACAGACATTTAATAATAGATCTAGTTTCGAGGCCCAAATCTAAATGAAGATTGCGGATGTTTTTTCGATGAACGATCGCTTTTCCTCTGTAATTGAAGTTGGAGGAATCAAAAAGACAATTTGAAGAAAACAAAAATGTCATTCAATCGAGCAGTCACCCTCTCTATTTCTCTGTCTCTCTCCCCTCTTTTTCTGCCTCTCTCTCTGCTCTTTCTCTCTCTATGTCTCTCTCCTCTGTGTATGGCTCGCCTTCTCTTTCTCTTTATTTGTCTCTCTCTCAAGCTTTCTCCCCCACATACTTTCCCACTCTATCTTTCTCTAGTTAGTTCCCTCCTACCAACTGGGGCATGTGATATTGCCAGCATTTCCCCTTGTGCTCTACCCGCTCCACTCTCTCTCTCTCTCTCTCTCTCACACACACACACACTCTACCGGGTCAGGGCGTTGAAACTTTCCAAAATCACAAAAGATTTCCCCAACCGGGTCTTTATACTCGTTACTTTATTTTTAGGAAGAGGCTAGCCGTACTTAATGACGGGTAGACTGCCAGGCTAGCCGTACTTAAGCCAGCATGTATTTTAATCCTCCTGTTTTCTAATGTTAATAGGGCCTAAGATAAGTACGGCTAGACTGGCAGTCTAGCCTAGTCCGTACTTAAGTACGGGTAGACAGCCAGGCTAGCCGTACAGCCGTACTTAAGGACGGCTAGACTGTCTGGCTAGCCGTACTTAATACTGATGGCTGAATTGTAAATGACATTTTTTAGTTTGCAATGTCTAAAGTATTTGTATTTCAGACAAAACCAAAAGGTGCCTTACTGACTTGCATGTATTTGAACCTGAATTTATAATTACTAGATCTAGATCTAATGAAACCTCTGTACTTAACAGGCTTGAGTCGATAGGGCCAAACCTAGATCTAAGTACGGCTAGACTGGCAGTCTAGCCGTACTTAAGTAAGTAAACTTAAATACGGCTAGCCACTTCGTTATTTTTATTCCCAGTTACCAGGTCTGTGTATACACACTTTGATTATATCAATCTTACCTACACTAGCCTACAGTACAGTGGTCGCTCATTGCGGAAGTCCTCCCCCTACATTAAATAATCTATATTTTGTCACCTAGAATCTAGATCTAGAAATCTAGTTCTTGTCTCCAATGCCAATACACTCTACACAGGGGAGGACTTCCGTAACGATCGACCACTTCACTATGAGACAGAGCAGAATTGAGGGCTAGGGGTAGGGGTAGGGGTAGGGGTAGGGGCGCTTTTTCGGTAGTTCCCACCCCGCAATTATTGTTATTCGCCGGTTTTGGCCTCAAGAGTGGGGTATTTCCAGGGGGGCTTGCCCCCCTGAATTTTACCATAATTTGATGTTTTGCAGTTGTTAGGTTTGATATCTTAGCTCGCATCAAACGTATAGATTCTAGATCTCGATGTAGGTCAGACTCAAAATATAAGGGGGGTGGGAACTACCGAAAAAGCACCGGGGTAGGGTTAGGGTTAGGCCTCTCCTTTATTGTGTTTGATGGGGTGGTCGCTCGTTACGGAAGTCCTTCCCTGTACGAGATTCTTGTCTCCAATGCCAATGTATACACTCTACAGGAGGGGAGGTCTTCCGTAAGGAGCGACCACTTCACTTTGCTATGACTATATGAGACAGAGCAGAATTTAGGGCTAGGGGTAGGGGTAGGGTTAGGGGTAGGGTTAGGCCTCTCCTTTATTGTGTTTGATGGGGTGGTCGCTCGTTACGGAAGTCCTTCTAGGCTACAGGCTACAGTTGCCAAGCCAAGCCCAAGCCTTCTAAACTTCCTACCGTCAAAGTCCAAGATCTACCCACCTGTTCTCGATTCAGCTTGAACAGTTTGTATTTCTTGACATTGTCACCAATCCTCAACAGGCACGGCACTATTTCTGTCATAATTGAGCAGTGTGGTTGTAAACAGGGATGGGGGATGAACAAGACCCTTCAGCGACCAATTTATGTCATCAAAACAACGACAAACTGCAGGAGATCGAGATAGAGGGATGTCTATTTTGGTGGACGACTGGCGCTTCCTAAATTGTAAATACTGTAATAGTGTGGCCTACGTCAGCAAAATTTGTAATGTCAGGTATTAGTTTCGTTATTGGCTTGCTATATGCCAAATTGGCCAAAATGGTTGCCCTGGCCAAATGTAGATTTAAAATATTTTGATAAATTATAAAATTGTTTACAATCCAGCCATAATTTTCGGGGCGGGGGAGAGAAGGAGACAGAGAGAAAAAAATTGGAAGAGAGAGAAACAGAGATAAGGAGAGAGAGAGAGAGAGAGAGAGAGAGAGAGAGAGAGAGAGAGAGAGAGAGAGAGAGAGAGAGAGAGAGCGTGTGTGAGCGTGCGTGTATGTGTGTGTGCGGTGGGGTAAATGCCCCTAACAACACTGATAGTAAGTGAAAGCTTATTTAAAGGCAAAACCTCCAAATAAAACGTCTGTCTCCGATAAGGCCGGCCCGATGGCATGAGAACCTGGAAAACTTCATAAAATGGCCCGGGTTCAAAAACGCCCAGTCTGGGAGTCGAACCAAAACCCTCTGCTCTGCAGTCCAGCATGATATCAAATGGAGTCATAATGGAGTGTCCAGAGAGACAGGGAGAGAGAGAGAGAGAGAGAGAGAG